CTTTTGCAATTGAACCGACAAGTCTTTTAATGGCGGCTTTAGATCCACCATCTTTGTCTTTTTTTTTTTTTTTTTTTTTGAGATCTATTTTTCGCTCATTTTATCTATTGAATTGTGATTTTATTCAGCTTTGGAGATCTGATTGTGGGTTTAGAATTGGTGATGCTGTTGATACTCTCTGTTTGATTACTTGCCTTTTGCTTAAAGTTGTTAGATATCATCTTGCCATTTATTTTAATTAGTTGGAACGCGACTCACGAGTTTGTTGTTGTTTATATCAGGCTTAGCTCAGTCTAGAGATTTTTCAGATTGAGAAAGACAAATGAAGAACGGGATAGCTGAGTGCAGTGTATGCCATTCCAAATTGGTCTCTCCCGGTAGCAAAACTATTTCGAGGGCTTATGACGACCACAAGATTAGGGTTTCCTCTAAACAACGTGTCCTCAATGTCCTTTTAGTAGTAGGTGATTGCATGCTTGTTGGTCTACAGGTTAATCATCTCCCTTCTCTTTTTTTTTTCTTTTTTTTTTTTATAAAGAGCAAACACCACTTCAGCTGCATTTCGTAGCTTCCATGATCATGGACCACCTGCTTTTGACATATTTTCCATCATATGACTGACTACTGAATCCTGGTGGAACAACCATTTTCATATTTTCCCTCTCAGCTCATCATTTGTTGTGTAAATCACTTAAAAGTTACTCACTTTGTTCCTTTTTTTTTTTCAGCCTGTCTTGGTGTACATGTCTAAGGTGGATGGGAAGTTCAACTTCAGTCCTATTAGCGTCAACTTTTTGACAGAGATTGCTAAAGTTATTTTTGCAATTGTCATGCTTTTACTCCAGGTATGTTTCTGGACTAACGTATAAACTTGATTCTGTAAGTGGGACATTTAGGCTCTACTCTAGAATCTAGGGCTGGTGTCTAGATGTTTAGTCTGCATTAGAAGGTGAAAACTACTAGAGAGTAGAAGTTCAGGGTGTTGATTAACCGGTAATGGGAATATGATAAAGATCCCTTTCAGTTCTGTGCATAAAGTCACTTTCTTGATTTTCGAATTATTACCTACTTCTTGAGTCTCGTGGATTTTTGTATGAACCGTGGACGATCTTAAATACTTATGTCTTTGTGTTCAAATTGTAGGCCAGGAACCAAAAAGTTGGAGAGAAACCTCTTCTATCCATTTCCACATTTGTCCAGGTATCTCTTCTTTGTCGATTATAGGGAGTGTAGTGCATTGCATAGCTGATGTACTAGATTGTGGTATGGCATATTCTCAAACCTGAAGCTAGCTACATGATCGTCATATGTCATACAAACATGTCTCATCTATGTATTTCCTTCTTTTTTCTACAGTTCATTACGTTTTGTAGAGTTTAGTAATTTGGTGATCATTAGGTTTTGTAGAGTTTAGTAATTTGGTGATCCGAAAAGTTACATGTTGGTATGTCAATGCCCGGTTGTTTGAAATGTGGATTTTACTGACCAGTACATAGATACAATTTTGAGTTTTCTGAGAACCATTTTGCATTGACATGAGTCTTTTTTGTAGGCAGCTCGAAATAATGTGCTTCTTGCCGTTCCAGCCCTGTTGTATGCAATTAATAACTATCTGAAGTTCACAATGCAGGTATAACCACTTGTTATTTTTCATTTTGGCATCCTTAAGTGTAATGAAACAATTGAAACGTAGTAAGGTCTATTGTCAAAAGTTTTGGCTTTATGGCAAGAGCATATCATGTTTTCTATCTACTTCAATTTTGTGGATCCGATATATTTGTTTACTTTCTACCTTTCCACGTCAGACACTACTTAAGTGCACCCTAACCAGATAATGGAATTACCATTTCCAAAGATAAGTTTATACACCGCTCTTTTCTGCTATATCTCTTCCGCCTTAAGATCTGGTGGCCAGAGATTATATGAGTCGGCCAGCTATTTACATCATAGTTAAATTGTGCATTGCGGTGGATTTATTTACTGTCCTTCTTGGCTTGTACTATTTGTTTCTACGTTTCATTCTTTCTATAATTTAATTTCACACGATAATGAAAGTCTCTGCCGTGCCAGCTATATTTCAACCCAGCAACTGTGAAGATGCTTAGCAACCTAAAGGTTCTGGTCATTGCTGTTCTATTAAAGATGATAATGAAGCGGCGGTTTTCTATCATACAGGTCAGTTTCAGTTATTCCTACTAATAGATTATATGTATGACTGATTTTCAGTAACATATAATATCATTGTGGAAGTTTTTGCGTAAATTTCCTTTTATAGTTACATCTTATTCTTGATAGGGTTTTGTATGTTCTCACACACACACATATATGTATCTTCATATATTTCATATTTGTATTACTAATAGATTATATCTATGACCGATTTCCAGTAACATATGTAATATCATTGTGGAAGTTTTTGTGTAAATTTCCTTTCATAGTTACATCTTATTCTTGATAGGGTTTTGTATGTTCTCACACACACACATTTCATATTTGTATTACTAAATCGTGTTATCCTTAATTTTTGTTATAGTGGGAGGCACTTGCTCTGTTGCTGATTGGTATTAGTGTAAATCAATTACGTTCTCTTCCTGAAGGTGCTACAGCCATTGGAATTCCTCTTGCTACGGGTGCATACGTCTGTACCGTCATCTTTGTAAGTATATATTTTCCCATACAGTATGAATGGGACATACTTATAGTTGCTCACTTTGAAGGTATTATAGTAAATAGTAATTCTACTCACATAATCTGACTTCTTGTACTGGCCTATTGATGCATCATGAAAGAGCTGTAATTTATGCTAGAGGCTAATTTGCAAATTTACATGCAGGTTACTGTCCCGTCAATGGCATCTGTCTTCAACGAATATGCTCTAAAGAGTCAGTATGACACAAGCATCTACCTTCAGGTTAGATAGTTGAGATGCACTTTTCTCATCTTGCATCAGAGAAATGATTTGCTGTGTGTTGTTTATGAAATGGAATTATAAACTTTCAGTTGTCTTAGTAAAACTAGTTGGCAGTTGCTTGTTAGGATCAAAGAACCTTGGGTTGTTGAATTCTTTGTTCTGTTCGCTGGTCTACTTAGCTGTGTTATAACTAATGGTACATAGCTCATATTCTTGGTCATGTCAAATTCTGTAATGGTCTTTACTTCTGTGTTGTCTTCTTCTTTTGACCTTGTGTATATATTAATATGTCATCTCATTGAATTTTTTTTTCTCTTGCAGAATTTATTTCTCTATGGTTATGGTGCGATATTCAACTTTCTTGGAATACTAGGAACTGTTATATATAAAGGTATGTGCATTTTATTTTTAAAATGACATGGAAGAAAATAATATGTTTGAAGCACCATAATAGCTTTTGAAAATCCTGTAAGGTAATCCTTTAAGCTTAAGCATTGCTGAGAAATTTATCATGATATTGACAGGTCCTGGCAGCTTTGACATCCTACAAGGACATTCTAGGGCTACCATGTTTTTGATACTGAACAATGCAGCACAAGGGATTTTATCCTCCTTTTTCTTCAAATATGCAGGTTATACTGACGAGCTTTGTTAGATTATTTAAAATATGAACTAGGTTGCTTGAGTCTAGATGCTTTTCTAACAGATCTGGAGAATGTTTGGTATAGCAAGTTTGTTATCGTGGATATTTACCTTCATCATTGATGCTTTCAGATACAATCTTGAAGAAATATTCATCGACAGTTGCCACAATATTTACGGGAATAGCATCTGCAGCTCTCTTTGGACATGTTATAACTATGAACTTTCTTCTTGGAATTTCGATCGTTTTCATTTCAATGCACCAGGTAAACCCATATGAACAGTTTCCCTGGTGAATAAATTTGACTTAACGAAATAGTTTCTGTCTTATTTATATTTGTCTCATATATACATAGTTCTTTTCACCACTGGCTAAAGTGAAAGATGAGCAACAACAGAACGGTAACCTAGAACTAAGCAATGCAAAAGATTCTCACAGGTTAGTGTCACCATAAATACTTCTTTAGCGTTTACTGTGATTATCAATTCCTCTTTAGACAAATTTTATAAGCAAAAAGTCTTGTAACAGATAAGTCGCAGTATTAACACCATTTAATTTTTTTCCCTCCCTGTTATCGCTTTCAGGGCTAATGACTCTTTCATCAACATGGCCGCAGGAGCAAATGAAGAGGTTAAAAATAAATTTATGAAGCTAGTTCTTGTATTTTTCCCAACTTAAGTCGATATCAATGTTTACTATAGTTGTTTTTGTCTGTGTCTGTTCAGGCTAGTCACCGCGGTGAATCAGATGATAGAACCCCGCTTCTTCCCAGATGAAAAGTTTCTTAAAAGTAGGTAACTGTTTATCTCACTTCATCATATTACATTTCAAGCTCCACTCTCAAAGATGATTGATCACCTAGATACATTCTTACCAAAGCATCCAACCTAGGTTTCAGAAAATACAAGTTACTCCAGTAATACATGACTGTTACTAATATAAAGAATCATGTACTTTTACATCTTTTGGCTGCAGTTTTTTTTGTTCTGAAGAATTCTTTTGGCGGAGAATATTCTAGAAATTGGGGCTTTACCAGTCGCATACTAGCAGAGGATACAGTGAAGCAACCTTCATGAGACCAACTCCTACCTCTCTCAAGAGTCGGTTTAAGTTCGTTGAAGAACCTTCAGGTCTGAAGCTGTATTGTTTAAGATATAGTGAACAAACTTGGTAAGTGATATATGTATTTTGGATATATATATATTGTATTCTTTGGTTTTTGCAAAATATCAGGTCACTTTTTTGCTCTTGTTTTTCTTCTTATACAATTACTCTCACAGTTGGATTCTTTAACTTCTCATATATATATAAAAAAGCATATTTTCAGCCAGTGAAAGCTGCCAAGCATTTCTTAAATCTGTTGAATCAATGACTAATATTGCAATATCTGAGTGATTACTATTCCTATCAAAACTGTATCTAAGAAGTTCACAATTTTGTATGCGGTTATGAAAATAAAATATATTGAATACAGGGAGAAAAACCCCAAAAAATTCAAACCAGATACAATATAAGAATAATTTTGTAAGATAAGCAGACTCCACCAAACATTTGAAAAGACACACCAAATCACTACTACTCATCACTTTAGTAAACATACATATCCCAACTGAAGAAAAGCCTCAGACAAAAAGACTCTGGAACACATTATATGGTATGACAACAATTGAAACACAAACCAATCTTCCATTGTTACTACACAAATGAATCAAGTTTCCTGGACTGGAACAGCTGCTGTCGTTGATGACCTCAACAATGGTTGAAGAGCTTTTACCACAATGCTCATGTTCGGCCTAAACTCTGATTCATATTGCACACACAACGCTGCTACTGCTGCGAGCTGAAGCGCAAGAATAAGGGGAAACAGTATTTCATGGTTAGCTTTGGAAGTAGTTTCACAGGTTAGAGATTAAAGTGTCAAAAAGATGAAGCTTTTACCTTGGCAACAGCTTTAGGAGGATAATCTCCTTTCAGTTTTGGATCGACACATTGCTTCACTTTGTCTTCGCTGAGCCTTGGAGTAGCCTTAAGTTACATAGCAAATGCCAAGAATAATCAGTAATTTTGGAAGTAAGATTATCCTCAGAGATTAAAGAAAAAGGGTTTTAATACTTACCCAAGTGACAAGACTTTGTTGACCACGAGGCATCGTATGATCGACGGGTTTTCTACCAGTCAAGAGCTCCAAAAGCACTACACCAAAACTATAAACATCACTCTTCTGTGTCAGTTGACCAGTCATCGCATACCTGCAACAGCAAAAATGTAAGTTACAATCTTTTACTTCCTATAGAATAGTGTGATCAATTGTTGTTTCAGAAGCATTCATACTCTGGTGCGTGGTAACCAAAGGTTCCCAAAACTCTGGTAGAATGAAGACGAGCAGCCATATCAGGAGATTGATTTGATAGATTAAAATCAGCGATCTTGGCTTTAAAGTCTTCAAAGAGAAGCACATTGCTAGATCGAATATCTCTGTGTATTACGGCAGGTTGAACTTTCTCATGTAAATACTCAAGTCCTCTAGCTGCATCAACTGCGATTCTGACTCGTTGGATCCAATCAAGTGTTGGACCAGGTTGTGCTCCTTGGACACCTTTTCTCCCATGTAAAATATCGTGTAAAGATCCCATTGTGGCAAACTCATATGCAAGAATGCGGAAGTTCCCTTCAACACAATAACCGAAGAGCTCAACAAAATTATCATGCTTCAGCTTGGAAACCCTGGAGACCTGAGTCAAGAACTCAACATTTGATTCAGGTTCAGCTGAATTATCAAGCTTCTTCACGGCCACAGCCTTCCCATCTTTCAAGGTTGCATAATAGGCTCTTCCGTATGATCCTTCACCAATCAATGCCTTTGATCCAAAGTTATCAGTCTTTTCTTTCAGCTCATCCAATGACAATGCAGGCACATCAATAGATGGAGGCTCCTTCAAAGCATCAGGCTTCACAGCAGCCGGTGTTTTTCTGTTGTGATGCCCTTCAACATAACAAAACAAAAACAGAAAAAGATGAATATACCAAGGGAAAATATGAATTTGCAAACAAGAAGATCTGTAACTAGCAAGAAATGATAAGATCATGGCCAGGAAATCACAAGAAACTAATTAGAGAAAAGAGCAGTACCATAACCATTATTGTGTTTAGGGCTTCTGAGGTGTTCATTTTCAGGAGAATGGTAAGGTTCTTCAACGTGGCAAGCACAGCACAACCACCTACGCATCTTTTCTCTCTTGCCTATATAGAGGTCGTCTACGGCTCTCGGTTTATCCAGCCTAACAAAGTGGGCTGGTGAACGATCGTTCGCCTGCAATATACAGCTCTAATTAGTCAATCAACTCTCACAAAGATTTCTATATTCATGTCACCAATAGCAAGATATCTCCCAATCAATACAGAGCCAAAGTAAGTTTCCTCAAATCAGCAACAACAGTAATTTTGATCTGTGAGTGTAGTTGACAATCTATGGATCAATAATGAATTCTAATCACATTGAGAGATTCCAAATTTGAGATTCAGCATAAAGCTAAGACCTTTACACAAACCCAATAACGCTTCAAGTGTCATAGTTTTCAAAATCCAAAAACACCAACCCAATTAGGGAATTAGAGAGATAGATTCGAAGAAAAAATAAAAGCTTTGATATATATATATATATATATAGTTCTTACCGCGAGACCACGACGATGATAATCAGAATCCATAGGATACATACGGATCGAATCAATCAAAGAAATGAGGCAGAAAATGAGAAGGAAGATACGGAAAGGGTCGAGCTTTGTGGAGAAATTTGGGAAACCCAAAGAACTCGAAACCCTCAAAAGAGCAAATTTGTTTTACAAAAAAGAAAAATGAAAACAGCAAAGACAAGAGACAGAGAGGTATGCAGCTCAAGAATAGGCATTTTTTATCCCACAAAACAAAAGACACCCATATTTAGAGATTATAATAAACTAAAGAGGAGAATATAATTACCTGTAAAGTCTATCTCTCTCTCTCTGTCTCTGTCTCTGTCTCTGTCTCTGTCTCTCTCCTTGTTGAGAAATCGTATAAATGAGTAGCTAGCTCTCTATCTAATAAAAGCTAAGCTAAGGTTTGGTCTTTATTGTTGTGATTTCTTGGCTGGTTAAGAGTTTAGAGAGAAGACAAAAAACAGACGTGGGGAAATGAATTTTTGTATGACAGGAAAGCTTAGAGCAAAAGACAGAGATGATCTTTGATATAAATGGAGGAGGAGACAGAGCAGCAAACGCGCTTTTAAGGAAAAATCTTTGATTCGTCGTGTCATTCGACAAAAAAAAAATATATATATATATATTTAATGCTTCTTTTGTAGCTTTGCTTTATGTCAACCTCAGTTTCTACGCTGGTCATGTTTTAGTTGCTCATGGGTTTTTATTTCTTCTGACCAAAACATTCTACTACTACTGTACTACGGATGGTTGTTTTTTTCTTTCCATTTCTCTCTTTTGCGCGTCTTTTACGTTTTTGACTAAATCTGGTCGGTTCTGTCGGCTACCTTCGACCTTAATCTCAATTCTCAAGATATTCCTGTATAACATGTTAGTTTAAATCAGTTTTTGTTTTTTTTAATATTAAAAAGATGAAAGACTGTTTTCTAACTGATTTGATGATATTCAACAAGAAAAACTATAACTTTCAAGAAGATTCTTGTAAAGTTCTAAAGTAGTCCAAAACTACTACTGACTAAAAATCAAAGTAGAAATAGTTGAATCAAAATTTCAACTGAATATATGTACAAAATTTCAACTATACAGTATATATATATCACGTAAATTAAATATTTTGTTTTTCTGTTTCTTTAATAAATTAGAAAGTTTTAAATGATTGGACTTATTGATACATTAGATGATATGTTTCGTCCACTCAAATTACGACGTTAATTAAAATGGAAATAATATTTTGCTGGCCAAGGCAAATGCTAAAAAGAAAAATTTGGTCAGTTTGGCGTAAAAAAAAATTCCAGTATAATATCTACATGTATTTTATTTGTTAATTTATGTTTAAGGCTTTTTCATTCGTATAGAGACCAACAAAGCCCGATAATAACCATTACAGGCCCATATAGATGTTAAAAAAAAAAAAAAAAAGGAGCACACACATTCTACTTTACACGAGTTTCACGTTTATGTCTTTCACACGTGTTTCCACGATGCCTCTTTTGGGATTTTTGAGATCTGTTTTTTCGCTGTTGAAATCTTTTCGGGAAAAATGTCAGTTAAATCACGAACTTTCAAATTTTGGCCATTTAAATCATGAACTTTTTATATAGCTATTCAAAACATGAATTTTTCGTTAATTTATTTTTAAAAACATCATCTTTCGTTGACCAGGCCGAAATGAACACCATATCCTCAAATTCGTTGACAAAGCAGCTAACCATCGTTAATCATATTTGTTAGTGAGAAAAAACGTTGTTTAATTCTAAAACGATATCTCAAAATCGTGATTCTAACGTCATAATCCAAAAATCAAATCCCTACTTTCTCACTTTGTTTTAGCCTTAAAGGACGTCGTCTCTTACTAATAGAGATGAATTAGTGATGGCTAAATGTTTGTTAGTTGTTTTATAACAAATTTTTGGATATGATGTACAATTTGGCTTTGTTAACGAAAGATGATGGTTTAAAAACTAAGTCCACAAAAAATTCATGCTTTAAATGGCCACATAGAAAGTTCGTGATTTAAATGGCCAAAATTTGAAAGTTCATGATTTAAATGACATTTTTCCCAAATCTTTTCATACCCCTTTCGTTGATTTGATTAGTTATTTTTTAAATTATATACGTACTTACAGTTACAGGGGTAGTAGTAATACATACTCTTTCAATTCACACTGCCGATCACCAATGATATTCTTACTTAAAAGGTTAACCTATTTATTTTCATAAACGATAATGTTTTGCAAAACTGTTTAAATATCATTTTCTCAATATAACAGAAGTTTAACTTTAATTAGTTGAATGTAGGGGAAAAAAAAGACATCTTAAAAATGTCAAAGGTTGGTATAGTGACAGCAACCTATTAAAAACTAAAAAGTTTACATTAAATTTAAAGTTGTAAGTGTCAAAATGGTTAAACTGCCCCTATGTAGAGTTTAAGGTTGTGGGTTTTACAGCCTTTTTTTTTTGTTTTTTTGGGTTATCTTGTTCAATCATGCACGCAGAGTGGTGATCTTTTTGAAGTTTGTTCCTTGTAACGGAGGGCAACAAATTAATCTCCTCTGTTTTTCAAATTTCTCGTTATTTATACCCAAGTTCTTTGATAATTACGTTTGAGGCCTTAAAATTATTTTAATTTAACATTTTAGCCCAAGCGAGGAAAAGGTAAAAAAAAGTCAACGGTGCAGGTGGAGGTGGCGGTGGAGGTGCAGCAGCGACATACACTAGACCATGTTTTTGTGGAATTGAAAAAGACTAGCTTTCACTCTCCTCTCTGTTGTCCGAAAAAGAAGAAAAGAAGCTTTCACTCTCCTCGCTAAATCCGACGACATACACGACTCTGTGGTAAACGAAATAAAACAAATAATGGTGTGTTTCGATTTCAATGGGATTGAGACGAAGAAGACTCTCATTGGACTTGGATTGGGACAGATCGTCTCGCTTGTCTCTACTTCTGTCAGCTTTACTACGTCTGAGTTCGCCAGAAAAGGTTTCACCTTTTTTCCAACCTAACCCTTTTAAAGAAACATTTATTGGCTAACAAATTTTGATTATCTTCTTCTAGGGATTAATGTTCCAACATCACAGGCTTTTCTGGGTTATGTCTTACTGGCAATCGTCTATGGAGGTACCATGCTCTATCGGGGATCCACAATTCAAGTCAGTATTATGTTTCTTTCTCTTGATTTCAATGTTTCACTCTCTGTGTGTTATACTACTACTTAAATATCCTCTTTTGTAATTAGTGATTCATTGGAGTGCATTGTGTGAATATTTTTGTCTACTTTATAGGGAAACATAAACTGTTGTGAGAATGAGCATTGAAGCTTTCGTTAGTAATTTTATAACTAACGAGTAAATAAATTTGTAGGCCAAATGGTATTATTATCTCCTCCTTGCTTTAGTTGATGTGGAGGGCAACTTCCTCGGTGAGTGTCCTGACTGAAAGATTTCGTCTTTACCTCATGTTTTCTCTCTCTTGCCCTTAATTTTGCTCAAGCTCTGTTCAGCCGAGGCTGCAGAGAAAGTAATCTGTTATTTGACTCTTTTTATGGAGAGTATCACTATGAGCATTTGAATCATTACTCCTTTACTTTGGTTTTACAGTGTATAAGGCTTATCAGAACACGTCAATGACGAGTGTTATGCTACTGGACTGCTGGGCCATCCCTTGTGTTTTGGTCTTGACTTGGCTTTTCCTGAACACAAAATACAGATTGATGAAGATTAGTGGTGTGGTTATCTGTATTGTTGGTGTTGTCATGGTAGTTTTCTCAGACGTCCATGCAGGGGATCGAGCTGGTAATGCTGTAAACTCATTCATTACTTCCTTTTCTCTTCTTTTCGTACAATGGCTTCATCCTTTAACAAGCCTGCCCGAGAAACTCACTTTAAGCATATTGTGGTGGCTTTCAGGTGGGAATAATCCTGTCAAAGGAGATTTTCTTGTTATAGCTGGAGCAACCTTGTATGCTATCAGTAATGTCAGTCAGGTAAGCAAGTCTCTAATCACATACTACAAAAGACTATAATGTTCTCAATATATCGCCGAATGGTACATAAAAGAAATTAAGTATACTTGTAATTCTAGTCTCACTGTCGCTCTGTTATAGGAGTTCCTTGTGAAGAATGCAGACAGAGTTGAACTCATGTCCTTTTTGGGCCTTTTCGGTGCAATTATTGGTGCCATTCAGATGTATCCTTCAAACAACAAAACTAACACTTATATGTTTCTTAAACTTATATACTAACAAAGAAGATATACCTTGACTTGTCCATAGAAGCATATTTGAACGTGATGCGCTCAAAGCTATTCACTGGTCACCTGGGGCTGTAAGTTTGCTGCTACATTAGAGACATCCATTTTCCTTTCAATCTCTGTTAACCAAAGACTTAAAAGTTTTAACGTTTTTTGTGGTTTCAGGTTTTGCCTTTCCTTGGAATTGCACTCGGGGTGTTTCTCTTCTACTCGTTAGTCACAGTCTTACTCAAGGTATAAGAAAAAAACTAAAAACCTTTCAGTGACCTCCTTCACTCTGTTTTCATGTCAATGTGTCCGTTTATCGCCATATGCCTCTGCAACGTATAATATATTTTGAAAATATGTCTTCTCAGACCAATGGTTCAGCAATGTTCACCCTCTCGTTACTTACATCAGACATGTGGGCGGTTTTGATCCGCATTTTTGCTTACCATGAGAAGGTTAGCTCACTTTGAATATGAGGACACGCTACCATTTCTGTCAGTAGAAACCAGTGTATGTGATCATGTTGGCTATATATGCTAGGTTGACTGGCTCTATTACTTGGCGTTTGCCACTACAGCTATTGGACTGATCATATACTCAATGTACAGTTTTTTTTTTCTCATATTTCTTCGACTCCAAATTTCTGTTCTGCACTCGGAGATCATCAGTATTCTTCACACCCCTTGTTTTCTTTTTCTTGATATTCGCATTTCTCAGGAAGGAGGAAGATCAGGAGGAAGAAGGAGGTGGAGAAGTGGCAGATGAGCAGAGGACGAAGCTGTTCGATGCAGTGGATAGTGAATCAGTTCGAAATAGCCTTATAGGTGCGCCCCCCTGAACCCAAAGCCTGAGTTTTGTTGGTGTTGTTGTGCGCCCCCCTGAACCCAAAGTTTTGTTGTTGTTGTTGTTGTTGTTGTTGTTGTTGTTGTTACCTGTAAGGAGAAAGAAACTTTTGGGTGGAGACAAAGTTAGTTTAAAAATTAAAAGGCTTTAACTGATCTTAATTTAACTGTAAACACAAAATAAGTTATAGGAGTTAGTTACTTCAAATGTATCAACTTCTATATATTATGATATTATCTAATGCTTTTTATTTAACTTAGTACTACAATGTACGATGTTCTGTTTATGGTCACACACACACAGGTTATTGTACAAAATAACAAACAGAGCTCTATAATGGTCGCTTGCCAGACAGATCCATCTTAATTCAGTTAAGCATTTAAAAAGTCAATAATTCGTTAAGACAAGACAAACTACATGTTTGTAGAATATAAAAATATACTATTAATAAAGACTGTTCATGACTTTTTTTAATCTGAATATGATCCACTTGTACAAAGCATTATCTCTTACCAGCTGCTTGTTTCTCCTCACCGAGTTGTTTGATTGAAGGAAGAAAACAGTAATGGTGTGTTTCAGTTTCAATGAGATGAAGACGAAGAAGAATCTGATTGGACTTGGATTAGGACAGATCATCTCGCTTGTCTCTACTTTTATTGCGTTTACAGCGTCTGAGATCGCCAGAAAAGGTTTCACATTTATTGAAACCAATCTTTTGTTTAATACATTCATATAATAGGCTTACAAAAATTTGAAACCATTTATAGGGATTAATGCTCCAACCTCACAGTCACTCCTGGGTTATCTGTCACTTGCAATTGTCTATGGAGGTATCATGCTGTATCGAAGACCCGCAATTAAAGTCGGTATTAATGATCTCTCCTTTCTTGGAAATTTCGATCTCACTGTGTGGTTATTGCTTCCTCTTGGGTGAATTAATGGTATTTGGACTGTGAGTTTTGTATATTTTCATAGGGGAACAACAAAAACGGTATGAGAGTTTGTATTTGAAAGAGGTCTAATGTTCTTTAACTAGCAAATGTTGCTAACATCTTCAGTGCACAAAATTGTTGTAGGTGAAGTGGTATAACTATTTACTCCTTGCTTATGTTGATGTGGAGGCAAACTTTCTCGGTGAGAAAACACTCTTCTTTTGTCCCATTCTTTGGCTTGAGCTCTGATCCTGCATTTTCGTGACAATGTAATTTCATTACAGTGGTGAAGGCATTTCAGAACACATCGATGACGAGTGTCATGCTCCTGGATTGCTGGGCTATCCCTTGCGTTTTGATATTGACTCGGGTGTTCCTGAAAACAAAATACAGAATGATGAAGATCAGTGGCGTGGTCATCTGTATTCTTGGCGTTGTCATGGTAATCTTCTCAGACGTCCACGCAGGGGATCGAGCTGGTAATGGTGTAAAAATGATTCATTAGTTCTTTTTAATTCTCTTTGTTCATTTACCATGGCTTCATTCATCAAAAGCCTGCAAGTAAACACTCACACATTGGCCCAAGAAACTTGATTTAAGCATATTTATGGTGGCTATTAGGTGGAAGTAATCCTGTCAAAGGAGATCTTCTTGTTATAGCTGGAGCAACTTTGTATGCTGTCAGTAATGTCAGTGAGGTAAGGAAGTCTCTAGTCACATACTTCAAAGAAAGAAATAATATTATATCGCGAATCTATACTTTCAAAAACTTCAGAAATTTAGTGTACTTGTAATCCTAGTCTGCTTATTTCTCTTTTATAGGAGTTCCTTGTGAAGAATGCAGACATGATTGAGCTATTGGCCTTTTTGGGACTTTTTGGCGCAATTATTGCTGCCATACAGATGTATCCTACCAAAAACAAGACTAAATACTTTTATGTTTCTTAAACCTGTATGAATATTTTTCAGCTGAGATGCTATCAAAGAGTACATTCCTTGACTTGGCCATAGAAGCATATTTGAACGAGGTGTGCTCAAAGCGGTTCACTGGTCAACTGAGGCAGTAAGCATTCTGCTACACTTGCGATTTTCATTTCCCTTTCAATCTCTCTGCAAAACCAGCGGACTTCTTTTCTTAGAATCCTTTTATACTTTCCAGATTTTACTTTACCTTGGAGTCGCACTTGCGTTATTTCTATTTTACTCATTAATCACAGTCTTAATTAAGGTATGAGACTAAACTGAAACCATATGATCATCCACTCTCTATTCCATGCCAATGTGTCTTGAATATATAACTTCTTTTGAACATGATCTTCTCAGAACAATGGAGCAACAATGTTCAACCTCTCGTTGCTCACATCAGACATGTGGGCTGTTTTGATCCGCACTTTTGGTTACCACGAGAAGGTCCGCTCATTTTGTAACTCAAAAACTCTTTTAAAGTTTCTGTCTGTAGAAGCCAGCTGATGAGATCAAATTATGTATGTATGTGTGTTAACGTCAGGTTGATTGGCTCTACTTCTTGGCATTTGCTACTACAGCTATTGGACTGATCATCTACTCAATGTACGTTTTTTCTTCAAGTACAATACCTGTTCTGCACCCGTGGTAAACAATCCATGGAGATCAGTATTCTTCACCCCATTGTTTATACACCTTTGCTGATATTATCAGGAAGGAGAAAGATGAGGAGGAAGAAAGACGTGGAGAAGTACTGGTAAGTGGGGAGAGGAAGCTTTTTGATGAGGAGGATGGTGAGTCACTTCGCAGCAGCCTTATAGTTGCTATCACCTGAAACTTAACTACCTAGCTAATCAAAGCCCTGAGGTTTTTATTTATCTATGTCATTGGCTCTGTAACATATAAGATTAATTTTCCCTGGAAGACACTTTTGGGTGGAGACAAGGTTGTATATTTCTCTCCCAATATTTGGTAATTGTAAAGAACATAGTAATATGGCTTTAAATATTTGATGCAGATTAATTTAAATGTTTCAAACGGTGTTTGTTTCTCGCCAGTTGGATAAGAAAGATATATATAAATAGTAACTACATCACCTAACATTTTATAAATGACTTTCTCAATCCCAAGAACTGGTCCAATTAAATTGAGGATTAAAAAAGGCAACAGCTAACAAAAAGACCCAGTGCTCATCATTTAATGCAGAGTTTAAAGACTCCTCCCTACGCTCTCCTGTCTGATCCATTGTATAGTATCCCATTATTACATTCACCGTCATTTCACACCGTAGACATCTCTGCTTTCTTCTACAAGGAGAGTTTAAAAGAAGAGAGCAAATGTTGATGGATGTCTATTTGAAGGAGTTTAGGACCAAGAAGACTCTGATTGGTCTTGGTTTGGGACAGCTCCTCTCTCTTCTTTCTACTTCTAATGGTTTTACATCTTCCGAGCTCGCCAGACAAGGTTCAAGCTTCTTCTTCTTCTTTTCGCTTATGCTTTGAGGATTTATTACCCTTTACCCCAGCAGCTTTCATGATCTGTCTTAAATTTTGAATAGGGATTAATGTTCCAACATCGCAAACATTCCTAAACTATGTGTTACTGGCAATCATCTATGGAGGTATGATGCTGTATCGAAGATCCGAAATTAAGGTCAGTATTGAATATTTCTCCTTTTGGAAACATTCGTCTAACTCTGTGTTGAGGTAACTGCACATGAGTGTGTTGAGTTTCAAAAGCAATGTGTGCCAAACAAAATGTGTCTATAGTCTTTTAACTAGCAAGTATTGCTAACATATTCAATGCGAGATTAATGTAGATCAAATGGTATTACTATTTCCTCCTTGCTTTAGTTGATGTGGAGGCGAATTTTCTTGGTGAGTGTTGTAGCTGATAAATCTCTTCTTTTGTCAAGTTTTTTTTTTTTTTTGGCTTGAACATTGATAAGTAATCTGTTATTTTGCCTGCTTTGTGGTGAACATTATTAAGCAAAACCTATTTCTTTGCTTTCACAGTGGTGAAGGCTTATCAGTACTCATCATTGACAAGTGTCATGCTACTGGACTGCTGGGCGATCCCTTGCGTTTTGGTCTTGACTTGGCTTTTCCTGAAAACAAAATACAGATTGATGAAGATCAGTGGTGTGGTTATCTGCATCTTAGGTGTTGTTATGGTAGTTTTCTCAGACGTCCACGCAGGGGACCGAGCTGGTAACGGTTTTGAAACTGATTCTTGAGTCAGTTTTTTTAAACTACAGAGTCAGTGAGAAACTCGATTACAGCAAATAAATTGCTGGTTATTTCAGGAGGAAGTAATCCTATCAAAGGAGATGTTCTTGTAATAGCTGGGGCAACCTTATATGCTGTCAGTAATGCCAGTGAGGTAAGCAAGTCTACCACAAACAAGAAGATGTTGTTATATCGCACAAAAATGTAAATTTATTGTTCTTTTGTTATAGGAGTTCGTTGTGAAGAGAAATGCAGGAGACACAATTGAGTTGATGACCTTTATGGGATTTTTTGGTGCCATTATTAGTGCCATTCAGATGTATCCTTAAGACCACAATACTAATTAAGACTCTTCTGTAATTTTTAGATTCATCTCAAGAAAATTCATAATTCAGCTGAGTTTATTCCTTGACTTGTCCATAGAAGCATACTTGAACGTAGTGAGCTCAAAGCGATTCACTGGTCAGCTGGAGCTGTAAGTTTCTTGCTATATCCCTTCCACTTTCAATTTCTGCAAATCAACTTTTTTACCCTTCTACACTTTTGCCATGTCAGGTTTTTCCTTTCCTTAGATTTGCAGTCACGACGTTTCTATTCTACTCATTAGTCCCCGTCTTACTCAAGGTATGAGACAAAGCTGCAAACATATGGTCAAAAAAACCTCCTTCACTCTTTGTTTTATCATGCCCAAATGACCATGTATCTGACTTCTTTTGCAGACTAATGGTTCAACAATGTTCAACCTCTCGTTGCTCACAGCAGACATGTGGTCAGTTTTGATTCGCATTTTCGTATACCATGAGAAGGTTATAGCACACTTTATATTATCAGGAAACATTTACGTTTTCTGTCCGTAGAAACCAGTTGATGAGATCGAACGGTCATATATGTGTGCTAATATCAGGTGGATTGGCTATACTTCTTGGCATTTGCTACTACAGCTATAGGACTTATCATATACTCTATGTACAGTCTTTTCTAATCTTTCTTCAAGTACAATATTTGTTCTGCTCACATGGCGTCATCAATGGACTTATTCTTCACCGTTTTTCCTATTTTCAATCTTTCTCAGTAAGGAGAATGATCTTGAAGAAGCGGTTGACGAGGAGGCTGAGCGGAAAAAGTTGTTCGATGAGGATGGTGACCTGGAGTCCTAACCACACCGGGTTTTGTCAATGTCATCGACTATGAGATATTGGTTTATTGCTTCCAGACAAAACGAAAAGAACTTACGAGTAGAGAAAAGTTACAAATTTATCTGAAGGGTCTGCTCTACTAAAGAGAAAAAGTGCTTTATTTTGATCTTAATTGTAGAAACGAATGAAGATTTACCTTGTGAGAACAACATTGGACTTATTATAGAAGTTTCTTCAATTGTATCGACTTCTCTTTATTCTTGGGTTTAATTTATATTACTTCCTACTACAATGTAAGAGGCTGCCTCTCCCACACAGCTCTAGTACGGTGACTTGAAAGCTCATCGTTATGTACACAAACGTCAGAGAAAAGAGCTCATGTAAGTACCAGATAGATCCCGTGGCTAAACAGCTCTGTCTCTGTTTACTTGTTTCTTCGTTTCGTGACTTTAATCAGTTACAGGGTTTTAACGATATGCATCATTCAAACTCTCATCATGAGACTTCAGTTTCCTTCTGCGGGAACGAGGGAACAGTAGCTGGTGGATCTTCTTCTCTGCTGCCATTTCTGTTGTAGCCTGTCACAAACAAAGATGAGAGAAGCATTAGCATATCAATTTCCTTATAATTCTGTTTTCTTGTTGCAAAAAGGTGTATCTTTGTTTAATGTTTTGGTCTGAGAATTCTCTCACCCTGGTTTTGAAAGGGAAACGGTGAGTTTGGACTTGTGCACCTGCGAAAACTCTCACATCCATACCGAGACTATCAACACTGATCAGGTTAGCTTCCTGCATGAGATAACAACAAAGTAGCAAGACTGGGTTACAAAAATGTGGTAGATAAGGAATTACAAGGGGGATCAGTATTAGAGATTAGGTGTATTGCAGATTATATCCAGAGACTTGGATACAATACCTCTGCATGAAGACCCTTCTTTTTGCAGAGAGCTTTAAGGGCAATGCTGGAGTTAATTCCCCTGTTGTTGAAGCGCTCTATGATTGCAGAAGTAGAGTGCACTAGGATATCTGGTTCGGCATCTTGAAAATCTTGCAAACTTATAGAAGACTGAAAATAGTCAAAGAATCTAGACATCAACGCACGGTGAGACCGTGGGGAAAAAATTGAAACAATGAGTCCATGCTCGCAAGTCAGCTATATCATATGCCAGCCATATTTTCAGAAACTTTTGTCTTCATCGAAATGGTCTGACAATTATTCAAGGGAAATTGGGAAAGAGAATAGACCGTGGCAAATACATACCTCTGCTCCATAGAGGGAGAGAAGCTCGATTCCCACAATCTCTAATCTATATAAACTTGAACTGATATCTTTCTCGTCACGTCTTAAACTAGTGCTTGGGTTATCTACATCCCAAGGGAGGGAAATTCAAGATGTCAAACAGAACTTTTCACATGCACAAAATCAACAGCATTTGGAGTCAAAAAAATGTGAAAGGACCTTGAGCCTCCCAGCTATAGTCATCTCTATCTTCCGAGGTAAATAATCTTCTTATATATGATTCCTCGTCAAGGAAAGCGGGCCTAAGGCATCCGAGTATGGATACACCATTAGACGGATAGTCCATTTTCCGGTCATAGTCCATGCTGATGGCCTGCATAATTGCAGAGACAAGAGATACCAACTCAACGACATAGTCAATGCAATGCCAGACCAGTAAGTATCAAATATAATGCTTATCCACCAATACTAAAGGGTTCGATTTGGTAACTGTTGCAAAGATCCAAGTTTATTAAACAAGTGAGCAAACTCTTCTCAAAGTCATTTATTAGTTTTTTTCATCATGCTACTACAGATTTCATAGATATATAACCTTGGACATGTGCTTGGCAAAGTAAATGGGATGAACTGCGTTGGAGGTATCAGGCATTCCCCAATCGACTGGAATGTCTCTAGCTTCAGAATCCATAATCTACTTGAATTTTAAAAGTGGATCAGAAAAGTAAATCAGTCGTTATGCAAGAAAACTAAGAGAGTGAAATAGCTTCAACCTACCTCGAAATAATGGTCATCGAAAATGATTTGGTCAAGATTACCAATGTCCGAAATGTTATATTCCTCATGGAGCCGTGTGTTTTCGTATCGTGGGACATCCATTCCAAAAAAGGCTTTCTACACATATATGATGAAGATTCCGATAAATAGGTGTTGGACGTTGTGCTTATACCAAACTAATAAATGTTATCAATTATGTACATATACGTGACATTCTACTTACCACTGGATTACTAGCTTCAGGATCTTCTAAGATGTTCACATCATCAGGAATTTCGAAAAAGATATCTAAATCGGAAAAAACGAAGAAGCTAGTGAAAATGAAAATGATCCATAGGTATTAAATTATATCGAGCTACGAAATTTAAGACTTACCTCCATATTCATCAATAACATACTTGAATTCGGACCATGAAGTCTGATCATGTGGTTCACAGTGAATAGCTCCAGGAAATATCAGTACAGCACTGCTGTTAGCCTACAAAGTAAACAAAGGAAAACCATGTTCATGAAAACTCAAAACAGCAAAACTCCACACTGTGCTAGTTCATATGACACTCAACATGCATGTTTTCTAGTGTTTCTCGGGTACAAACCTCAACGGTAGTCCTAGCTACTTCAGCAGGAGAGAGTTTTGTCTCCTGCACTCTTTTGGACGGCTTCAAATCTTCTAGAGGGTGATAGCCGTAGAAAGATGAATCAGGAACCGAATCAGAATAATCAGCAGCAACCGAAACTTTTGTGAGGCCAAGGTCATGCCCACCTGATGAAACATGAAATGCTGATCCAAAAAAAGGAATCTTGCATCTGGAACTGAATAGGGGAAAACACACAATAACAATCAGAAAAGATTATAAAAATATTAAACTTCAATCAAACACACATTAGAGATAAACCATAATACCTTAAAACAGAGAGATTAGCAGAGGCACATCCATCAAATACACGACTTCTTGAGCTGCCGTTTCTTTTGTAAGGCATAGAGGAAGAGAACTCATCCGCGTGAGATTGATGACAATGGGATGGACCTAATGAAGAAGACAGACATACAAAGAACGTTCAATTCCTCCCCCAAAAAAAAAAGAAAAATGGAAAAAATTAAGAAAGCAAAAGAAGAGACCTTTAGAGTTAATTAATCAGATTTAAAGATGTTTAATAATCACATTAACATCTAACATCCACGACAACAACAAAATTAATCAAAAAAAATAAAACTTGACACAGAAATAAATTACCAAGGTCTTGTTAGATTCAAAAGCAGAGGAGGCTAAACGCCAAAAAGTCAAGCATTGAGGGAATAATGAAGATTCGAACAAAAAAACAAATTTACTATGGAGCTCAAGAACCAATTCGATTTTTTAGAAGAAAAAAATCAAAAATCAAAAACGAGTCATCCATCAGCCAAAAGGAATCTCCTAAAAAGGGCTTTCTTCGCCATTAATGAGAAAAAAGGTTAATTAAATTCGTGTTTCTTAGCCATGCACAATATCCAAACACCAACTTCAGATTAGTCAATGAAGAAACAAAAACGAAGAGAGATCTCAAAAAGTACCGAGGGAAAAAGAAGAAGCAGCCGCGATCACCATGATTTAAACAGAACAGAACAGAGGGAGAGGGGATCGGAGAAGCTGAAAGCTCAGCCGCCGTTGAAATGTCAATGGTAATAAATGTCGAACGCCGTAATATTCGCCGGCTTCGTGGCCGTCGCTGATCACGTTTTTGTTTGGTCTTCTTTTCTTATTATGTTCACTGTCGCATCTCTCTTCTCTTATATTAAATTTTTCTTTTGCCAGAGACTTCAGAAACTTTCAGCCTTTTTTTTTTTTAATATTATTTTTGTTTTGTTTCCTTTTTTGTCATAATAGCAATATTGATTTTTTATCTGTTTGGGTTTTTAGAAGATGGGAAAGGTTGTTGTTGTGGTTGGTATTTTTCTTATGGTTTTTGTGGAAATCTCATATTTCGTTATCTTTTTTTCTATCTCAAAAGCAAATTAAAAAAAACTAAAAAAGTATTGTAATGAATAAAAATGATGGATGGATATTCTTTTGATTCTTTTATTTAATGCTCATGATAAAACTCACATACGACCAATTGTGTGACTTGTGACTTGTGTGTGTGAGTGAGCTACATCAGGTTTTGCTGGTTTTGTTTGGTATTCTCTGGTTTAGTGAACCTAGCTGGTTTTGTAATGAATGGTTCAACTAGAATTCGTTGGCGATAATGCTACTACCAACTTTTTCCAAGTCTCTCTCTCTCTCTCTATTTTTCTTCCTTTGAAGACGTTGGCAACAAATACCAGACCATCTAGAAGAAGAGCAAAAGTCATGACTATGTATATCTACGTGGCGTGGGAAGCAAAATGATTTTGTAGTTTCTTTAACAATCAAATATCATACGATAGACTATGTGCTATTTTTATGACCAAAAAAAAAAAAAAAAAAAGACTATGTGCTATTTTACTAGCAATTTTGTTCTGTTACCAAATCCACAATTTTACAGTACATAATTTGATAACTAGCTTCTTTTCTTCTTCTTTTTTCAGATATTTTTCACTTTTCTTTTGTTTTCTCTGTTTCGTGTTAACAAACCAAGTAGTATATACTATTGAAAGATAATTTTTAAAAAATTGTTACGTAAATGGAAAATGTATTACAGAAAAGATGTATAATATCAAAATACATATCTGTTTACAGCGAAACCCGAGTGAAGGTTATGCCTCTTTCTCTCTTTTCCCACTACATATGTCTTAACAAAACTCCAACTTACATGAACCGACAAAATCTTTTTACAAATTCAGGTCTAAATGATCGTGTTATGTTTTTGAATCTTTTTTACTAGTGTGATGAGTTTAGATGGGGGTAACTATGATTATTGGCTCGTATCTTACCGGTGGTAACCTCCTCCACCGTACGGTTGCTGCTGCTGAGGGTTGTAACCGCCTTGACCCATCATCGGATTGTAGGAACCTGTCATGCCTTGTGGTGGACCAGGAGGACCCATGGCTATTCCTTGTTGTGGTTGCATCGGATAGCCTTGGCTGTATCCGCCCATGTTCATCCCCATTCCCATGGGATAGTTTTGGTTTCCCATAGGGTGGTTGTGGTTCATTCCCATTGAATGGTTTTGATTCATCCCTATGGAATAGTTTTGGTTCATACCCATCGAATGGTTTCCATTCATCCCTATGGGGTAGTTTTGGTTCATACCCATAGGAAAGTGTTGGTTCATGCCCGCTGCATGATTTTGATGTATTCCCACGGGATGGTTTTGGTTCATACCTCCATAGCCACCATTGTTCATGCTTGAGCCTACCATTGAATTTGTCGGAGGTCGCATAGCACCTGCACCTGCACGGCCTAAGCCAGTACCAGATCCCATGGCTTTACCCATGTTGATAGTTGATGTTACTTGTTGTTGTGCAGTAGTTGGTTTCTCTAGTCGTTTCTCTTTCCTGTTGATCGCCTCGAAATCAACTCCTATATCTGCTAATGGATTTGTTTTTGCTGCAATGTAAAGAAACGACGTTAGAAATTTTGTAAACACTTTATGAATTAGAAGATTATATATAACAAAACTTACGTCCAGAAATGTTGAAGTTAACAAGCCCTCTGCTTAATGTGTCAGCCCAGATTGTTGATTTTGGCTCAAACTTTTTCTGACTTTGAGGAACAATCTCAATGGCTCCTGTTACAGGTGTGAGAGATGGTTGAGATGCTGAAGTCTCTAAGGAATTTAGTCCAGCTGGTGCAAACATGTCTCCAATGACATTACTACTAATGTGCTTCTCGATAGGTCCAGATCGAGTTTGTTGTGGTATTTGGGAAAGGAGACCATGCACTTGTTGTGTCATACGATGAGCTTGCTGTGTAATGAAGTTTCCACCATCAAAGTGACTAGCTGGTGCATTAAGTGTAGTTTGGTAAGGATTTTGCGAGCTTGATGAGGGGGCAGAACCAGGTTGGTGCATATCTCCAACGATATTGTTATTACTGTCGTACACTGCAACAGGTCCAGACTGAGTTCGATGTGGTACATGAGAAGGGGAACCATGAAATTGATGTGTCACATCATAAGGTTGTTGTGTCATAAAGTTTCCACCATCAGACTGACTAGCTGGTGCATTTGGTGTAGTAGCAAAAGAAGTTTGTGAACTTGATGAGGGGGCAGAACCAGGTTGGTGCATATCCCCAACGACATTGTTATTATTCCCGTATGCCACAACAGGTCCAGATCGAGTTCGATGTGGTACATGAGAAGGGGCACCATGAACTTGTTGTGTTACATCATGAGGTTGATGTGTCACATCGTAAGGCTGTTGTGTCATAAAGTTTTCACCATCACTTTGACCAGCTGGTCCATTAGGTGTAGTAGCGTAAGGAGTTTGAGAGCTTGGTGAGGTGGCAAAACATGGTTGGTGAGGAAAACTCTCACTTGTTGGGTGTGGAGATAAACCAGGAGTATATTGTGGAAGTTGAGAATTTATTGAACCTGCATAGCCTGGCTGTTGCGTGAAGCCTCCATTGTTAAATTGCATATCTTCAGGATGGTTTTGTGAATGGGAAACCATGCCATAGTGTTGTGAAGCTTGATCAAACGGAGTTTGTCCTGGCATGCTTGAATCTGTAAGTGCTGCCTGATGATAATTCTCATAAGAGCTACCACCGTTGGGAACAAAATGAGATGCTGAAACTGTTGAATTTGGTTGTGGAGATAGAGAATTTAGCGGTCTAGATGGTGGGAGAATGCCAGCAAGAATATCAATTTCGTTGTGCGATGTATCGAACTGCTCTTCAGGTAAGACAAATGAGTTTGGTTGAGCTTGCATATTTTGAACGTCAAGTTCATGATTGGGTACGGTTGTAAATGTTTCCCCAAAACCAAAACTATTCTCATTGTCAGGATTTGAAGTTGGTGGTGTTGGCTGGAAAGACTCTCCAAAACTCTGATGATGGGTTGGATCAGTGTCAACAGAAGTGATGGCTTTGAAAGGAGATTCACCAAATGGATCATCAAAAGGCTGCACAAAGGGGAAAGGATAAAGATAGAATCCAGTAGGGTTTCTTGTTAAGCCTAGTAACATACCCAAGATAATACCATTAAAAAAACGCAAACATAACTGGTTAAGCCCAATATAAATACCTGAGTTAATGACTGAGAAGTAAGAAACGATGGAGTTGGACCAGTGTTTGGTTGTCCACTGGTTTCAAAAGAAGTGGAATCAGATGTTACAGTATGCAAGGGATTCGCTGAAAAAACATCTGAAAATGCGCCAAGCAAATCTGTTTCCGCATTATTTGAGGTAGGCTGGGCATAAGTAGAAACCACTGTTGGTGGGCTAGGTGCAGGAGCTGAAGGACCAGTTGTAGGTACACATGCTGCTGGAAGAAACATGAAGTTACATTATACAATGAGAACATCCAGATAAGAACACAATCACATACCTCGAAATAAGGTATTAATATTGTATGCATCTGAATCCGTGACAGTGAATTCTTATGCTTGTAAAGAGTGTAAATTACACAATTACAAACATGAAAAGTTATGTACCTGAAACTGAACCCCGTGGATCAAATTCATCAAAAGCCTCAACATCTTGAGGAGGTGATTCGTTAACAAAACCACCAGCTTCGTTTTCCACGCTATTGTTTTCAGGGGGAGGCGAAGCTACACCTCTAGGAGGAGTAACTTGTGGTGTCTCTCCACCATTACTTGAAGCAATAAATATTAAAATGCATAAACATCTGAATTCAGAATAGTTAAAAAGGTACTTCTCAATTTTCAGTTAATTCAGAGAAGAGAATTGTCACCTTTCACTGTATACAGGGCTCCGTGAATCACTAACAGCTTCTTCATAACTAGGTGGGGCAGCACCAATATTTTGTTCAGAAAATTTCCTCTCTATTGCTCCTCTATCAAATCCCAAAAGTAAGACATAATAACTGACATTTGTTTTCCTAGAATACAATAAAAAAGCCCAATCAAATAAATATTGTCTGTCGAAATTACCTTCCATCTTGAGAATGATCATCATCTCTGCTCCTCCCATGATATTCATCATCCTTGATGTCTTCAGAGTCTCTAGAATAACGATCTCCATCACGACTACTTTTATCATCATCCTTGTAACCATATTCTCTCTCTCTCCCATAACTACTACGTGCTTCATCTATGTCTCCATATCGGCCTTCGTAATCATATTTGTCTCCATATCCTCCAGACGGCCTATGCATTCCTGTTGAGTTATGATACCTATTGTACGAAAATAACAGATTTTGGAAAATATGTTACCTATATGAGGAAAAAGATTGCATATTCATGACTTTACTAAGCAATATAGAAAGCAATTACAGTATGATATTTCCTAAGCATCAATTTTAATTATAAAAATGTGCATGAAATTGACCCATTGGAGAAACAAGAAGCAGACATACTTGTCTATGTTAGCAGCAGCCTTCTCTCTAACCTCCGCTATTCTTTCTTTGTCATTTACCAAATCCACAAGGCTCTGTGCCTTCTTCCTGACATTGCTTCCTTGATCTCTACCGCTGGAATCAATATACTGAAAACTTGATAATATCTGACACATGAGGAAGGGATAAACAGCTCAGATACCAAAAAAATCAAATATTGTTGAATACCTCTCTAAAACAATTTACTAGTAATGTAGTCATCATTACCGAAATTTGATATGCATGTTCTTTTATCTCTTCTATGACACGTTCTGATCCATGACCTACCAAATAATCCAAGACCGTTAATGCCTGAAGAGTAGAAAAGAGATAAACCAGCATAAATTAGTTTCATTCACTGGCAAATTAAGCACTATATAAGCATATCAAAAACATGTTACGGATTCATATTTCTTTTACCTTATAGACATGCCGCCAATTTTTTCCAGTGTCACTAAGACGTTTCCATAACACTCCCATGGTCAGCTGGTATTCATGGCTGCATGAGAAAAAATAAAAAACAAATAATTCACTCATAAGATGATATTACAGAAAAGGATAACATGACAAAAGGTATTTGTAGTTACTAATTTCTCGAAGCATGGGCAATGTCCGCAAGAAGTGATCCATGCGGACCCCATGATTCATTGCTGGTAGCATCTAGAACCTGAACAAGAAACCAAACTAGAGAACTGAGAGACAAACGAAGTGAAGCATATATGGAAAATGTCATTTAAATTCCACAATAGAAGCCAACAAGGGAGTTTCAACCAAAGATAAGCTTCTCTAGTAATTAATATAATTCATCTTGGCAAAACTTAACTAAATGTTTTTGACTGACTCAATCATGAAGAACTAAAAACAACATCTTAATCAAACAAAAAGCTTTATTACCTTTCGTTCTATACCAGGTACTTTAAGCACTTTCTTGTTAACACCTCTCTTGCTACAAACAATTGGATTAAAGAATTTGTAAGGCATCTTGAATGAAGAAAAAATAATCCACACATGGATCGACAAGATAAAACATGTAACTTTAAGTACTCCAATCCTTACAGGTCTCTGACAGTTTGACCAAATGCTTTCTTCATATTTGATAGTGAGACACTGCTTTTTAAAAAAATAGGGAATGCGCTAACTGCCCTTTATAAGAAGCCTGTTCACAATGTAAAAGAGATTTCAGTGTCAGATTGTTTGAAAAATGATAAGAATGGAAAACATGAACCAACAATAAATCAATAATATCTCACTAAGCAACCTTATTAGAATAAACATATATACATGGCACCACCAAAAGATCGAATCAATCACAAATGAATGTGTCTAGGCTAAAGAAAAGATCCACCGACAAATCATCAATAAGGTCAAAACATAATTATGAAAACACATTTCCGATTCATATGAGAAGAACATAAATGCAGCTTCTAACAACATTCACCATCGCGATTTAATTTTTAAAACGATTTGAAATCGATCAAACAAACAATCACAAACCCACGCATCAAAAAATTACAATTTCAGCTGAATTTGTTTTTTCAAAAAATGATAAACTCACTCAATAACTGCAAAACAAGAATTTTATTATCACGACGAACAGCAAAATCAATCAAACCTGCTCGAAAATGAAAATGCATCGCGGATCTGTGAGGCTGGCACAAAATATCCAAACAAACAAAAAAAGAAGAAGAAGAAGGAATCGAGAGAGATATGGGGAGGAGGAGGAGGAAGAAACGGGAAGGAAGAAGAGGGAAGCTTGTGCTTTGTGCGAGATAGTGTCTTAATTTCTATATTTGGTTTCATACTTTTTTTTTCTCTTTATAATTTTTTCTTTTGTTAGAGAGAGATTTCATAATTTAAAAAAAAAAAATAGAAATTAAATAAGTAAATAAATAAAGACAGCGCATTAAACACGCAGAAAATTCAGGACTTTTTTAAATACAGTATTGTGCATCCCTTTTCTAAAGATATAACAACAGTAGTTTTAATTAATTTTTGGTTAAATGAGTTAATTATTTCCTTTTATTGGAAGGAATGAATGAATCTATTATGCTTTGTTCATTGAATTATAGTTCGTTTAAAACAATTATATAATTCAATGGTTTGTTGCAAATATGGTTGGCTTTTAATGTGGATAAAATGAAGAAAATATTATGCTGATTTTTTTTTTTGTGGAAAATCAGAAGAAGTTAGAATAATAAAGGTTTTGATCATTTTAAAATTTAAATTGGTTTTATGTATATTTTTAAAATAAATCTGTATAATATATTTCAAACATAAAACAGAATCAGAATTGATATTTACGTTGACACATTTCTTCAAGTGATAAAATAAAACAAAATTCGATTAATAAAATAAAAAAGAGAAAAACAAATTTCCATAAATAAAGTCAGACTATTCAATATTTCAATGTAAACCGAGGAGGACTTTTAATTATTTTCAACAGTCAACATTCTGATCCTCTTCGTAATAGATGGGCCTAACTTATTTGATAGCCCAAGCCCATAAGTATCACATGTTGAGTTTCGTCTATTATAAAAAATGCCTTGGGCATCAATCCCCTGTTTTCGTGTTTGGTCATCCGTCTGCCGTGTTTCTCCCTCTAGCTTATTTTTTATTACACGAACACGAACAACATAACAGAAGAGAGAACCCTAGATTGTTCCATAGCCTTCCTTCGTCAGACTTTTATCTATCACTCTTCTTACCCCCCACGAATCGGAACATCGTTCTAAAGAGAAGCATCTGATTGAGATTAATTCGATCGATTAATCGGCTGCCATGGTGAGTTTCCTCTCCTCGCTTTTTTCTTGCTACTTCAATCTCTTGAGTGGTGACTCTTTGTATTTTGATAGAATGATTGGTTTTTAGCATCATTTAGGATCATTTATTTTAGTTTTTTTTTTCCGTTGATTTGTATGAATTCGAGAGATTGATGGGTTCTATGAATTGGGGTACCGAATGATTCAGCTGATTGCTTTATTCGGAGATCCTCTTTGCATATTTTGCGATTGATTCCCTTAAATTGAGGTTTTTTTTTTGTTGCTACAGGCTTTTTTTCTTTGTTGTACGATTGTTTGAAATCGGTTCTTATTAGATTTGATCAATCAGGCAAAGATGTCTGAATGTTTTTAAGTATTTAAATATTAGCGATTGATTGAATCTGTTTTTAGCATATATATATAGTAGTGGCTAAAGGCCTTTGCTTTAATGAACGTTAAGCAGGCTTTACTTAAGACATGTTTCTTTGTGTTCCAATTCTTTCGTCATCCGTGCGTATTCGTGTTGTCCTGATTCTAATATTCTCTTCATAAAATTTTCTCTCTTACAGGCAGGGAGAATACTTGCAAATTTGATTGTGATGGGTTCTGGGATCATTGGTCGCGCCGTCTTTCAAGCCTATCGCCAAGCACTTGCAAGTGAGTTCCAACACTTTCTTTTATGTAACCTCTTTGACATCAAGTGGTTGCTTCATTAATCCACTGTTAAGGTTTGATCTCTCAGACAGACCTGTTTTCAATTGATAGAATGGTTACTTAGTTGATGATGACTAGTGTGATTCTGGTCACTTAGTTTATCACAGCTCAGCTCCTGGATGTGTTTTACTAATATGAGAACGGTTTATATATTTCAGAATCAGTTTTCTCTCTTTCACTCGAGTATATTGAATTTGCGCATAAGATGAAGGGTCATGTATCTGTATGAAGGAGACCTATCTTAGTCTTACCCTATAATCTTCTTTTGCAGATGCATCTAAAACTGGTGTTGCGCAAGAAGCAATGCAGAATGCAGTACGTAAAGCAGGAAAAGCCATCAATGAGCAAGAGGCTAGGCAAATTCTTGGTGTGACTGAGCAGACCTCTTGGGAAGAAATATTGCAGGTAAACATTTCCCTTTCCATCATAGATAATGATTTTCTAACTCTAATTTGATACTCGGAAACGAATAATTAAAAGGAATGGGACAATATATGGATGCAGAAATATGACAAGCTGTTTGAGAATAACGCAAAAGCTGGGAGCTTTTACCTTCAATCCAAAGTTCATCGAGCTAAAGAATGTCTAGAAGTTGTATACAGGAGCAAAGGCAACGGTACTCCTAGTTAAGAGCTTAAATCTTTTTTTCTTACAGATTCAGAATTCTTGCTCTTAATGTAAAATTAAGACGATTTCATGCTTCTTTGAGATGATGTGAAACTTATAAAAACGGCCACAGTTTTTATTTTTCACCCATTAATTAGTAATAACCAAGACAGGCTTGATCAGTGTCAAAGAAGCTCTCAAAAGGTAAAACTAGAATGGATTGTTCTACGTGTGTAATTTTGTATCATTCTCCCCTGAGAGAAGATCTGTTTACCGTCTGTAATGTATACTATATAATAAGATTACTTCATTACTGTATTGGAGAGGCTAAGTGTGATTGGTAGCTTGATAAATCTAAATCTCTTAAGCGTGACTTGATCATGGTTTGGCTATCCCGGATGGATGTCAACATATCCGAAGGTATTTTGATCTGATTTTATATTTGAAAGTTTGGAGGTTAATAAAGATTAAGTAGCAACTTGAATCTGAAGTGTTGCCTCTTAAAGTTGACTTTTCCGGGTCAAGTTGCATTTTAGATCGCAGACGTTTAAGATTTTATGCTGTAAATGGCTCAAATTATATTAGTCACCATAATAAACTATAAACATATAATCGACTCAAATCTCAATTAACGACCAAATAAAAGAAAAAGAAAAAAAAAACAGAAGAGTCTAATCTCGTCTTAAATTATATTTGTCCATTGATTAGACTATCGAGTAGAGTATCGAGTAGATGTACTCTACTTTTTACCATAGATCTCTAAAATCTGAGGACTTGACAACACTTCAGTAAAAAAAAAAAACCTGCACTGGAACTCACTCGCCCATCCCGCCAAATTAATAGGGCCAAAGACCCTAATTTCAACTTTCACTTCTCTTTGGCTATATATATATATCTCTTATCTGAATCGGATTAGTTGAAAATCACATAAAACCGCAACAGTTGTGTGATTCTGGTGACCTCTGCTTCACTCCCCCAAGTAAGCTTCTCACTCTTCTCATATAGGGTTTCTTATAAAGTTTTCGACAAGAAGATTGTTTTTAATATACATATTTATTTTCTTTCTGTTAAGAATCTCAGTGGAGACTTAAAGATAGTTTAGTGTAAGGCTTAGACTTTGAAATCGGTTTTGAAATTGGTAACGTTGGAGAATTCGGCAATCCTTTTGTTGTTTATCCTTACTCAAGCTCATTGTCTCTGTTCAGGGCTGTAAGAAGTGATTTGTATTCGAAAAAGATGAATCTTGACTATGATGACTTAAAGCGTATGCATTCCGGAGTGAGCAAACAAGAAAGGGATAAGATTCTCAGAGGTTTTATAAAGCGCGTTGATGCTACATTGGCTTTGCATAAGCATGTTCCTTTGAACAGATTCTCACTTAAGTGTATGGATGATGTTGGACCAGCTCCTGTCATTGGTTGGATAACCAATGTGTTGAAACGTCGTGTATCAGAAATGGTTCTGGACATCTCTTCGTGTTGGGCTTGGCCTATGTCTGCAGCTATTGTTGGGTGCGAGACTATGGTTCAGGAATTTTGGGAATCTTGCTCTGTTTCTAGCACCAGCCTCAATAGACTAACTTTCCGTTTTCGGCAAATGTTCTTAGATAATCACAAGAGTGTGTCCTTTGATACTCCTAATCTCCTATACTTGGAGTACTCTGATGTTATAGCGGACAAGTATCCAAAAGCAAATTTTGATTCACTTGTTGAAGCTCGTCTCGATCTTCAAATGACACATGATCAGATCCATGAGGCGAAATTTGCAGGAGATGATTTATCTACGCATGAAGGGTTGGTTGGTAATGCAACTGTTTTCTTTATGGGAATTTGCAATGTTAAGGCCCTTTACTTATCTGACAGCACTCTTGAGGTCAGTAGTAGTCCCTCAACTTCGAATTTGTACTCATCTTCTTTTTAATTCTTTTGAGTTAAAGTGTGATCATAAAGAGAGTCGTGTACTAGTCAACTTGCTTTCTTGTTTTTGTCTCAGGTACTCGCTTTCTGCTGTGAGCCAATGCCGGTTTTCAACAACCTGATTAAGCTAACTGTTAAGACTGACCGACATGTAGGATGGGAATCATTAACGACTCTACTCAAGAACAGTCCTAATCTAGAAACCCTCGTCTTTGAAGTACCAAATATATATATCCCTTTATATCATTTATGCTGATACATTCTTCAGACAAAGGCAACAAATTTCCTTTTGTGTTGTAGGGACTTCTCCACAGAGATGGAATGAAATGTCAAAGTGACGAGTGCCTGTGCAAACCTTGGGAGGTGGAGGATATTCCCACTTGTCTATCATCAAGTCCTGTGAAGATCCTAAAGATACTGAAGTTTGGAGATATCTATGAAGATGAGGACATGGACAGAATGATGGAGCAAGTTGAGTACTTCCTTGAGACAATGCCGAATCTTGAACAACTCATAATTCATTATGAAACCTCAATTGACGAAGATGTGGAGGAAGTATTAAGCCAATTTCAGATGGTTCCTAGGGAAGGTTTAACCAATTGCCAGATTCAAGTAATCTCTGATAACATCCACTTGTCATCTATTTAAGCATGTTTCCTTTTCGTCGGTGAAATGGATTTCTCGTTTCTTGTTATTCAAGTTTTTAGGATTCACTCATGCTTCTTTTTACCATCTCAAAGCCATGAATGTGTCTCGGCTTTAAGTTTGTAAGAGTAGTATCTAATGACTTGTATTTTAATTATGCTTTTGTCGGTTAGACCAAGTAGTGACCAGCTCTAGTAAGCGCTAAAATTGTTCTGAGTCTCGGATTTGTAGAAATTGAAGTACTAAAATTGAACTATACTGTATTAATCAATATTCTAAAACATAGCATGTTATTAAATTACGGGACAATGATGTGTATGATCTAAATTATAAGATTATGACCGTGTCAGATAAAGAAGAAACTCTAAATATAACTGTCACTGGTTTGTAATGCATAAACCAACCATTCTAAAAATGCCATGGAATAATTAAAAATCTTTAGACGTAATGTTTTTGATGAACTTGTGTTGCTAAGGCTTTGGTTCCAACAACAGTTAAAATCATTTCCATTAAAGGATAGAACCATAAAAATAAAAAAAAGTAGGTAAGATTTATGATATTTGGCCAGTGTAAAATTTGCAAGAGTAACTCACAAAAAGAGAAAAGGAAAAACATATTGACTCAATAAAAAAAAAAAAGAAATGCCCAGAAATTGAAATGCATTTTCTTTTTAGCCCTGTTCAGTAGTAATGTTAGGTTATTGGGATATTTGGATTATCAACATACACATTAATCTTACTACCTACACAAAAAAAACATTAACTACTGATGTTAGTCACATCTATCGTGGTCGAGTTGACGTCACGCAGACGATACTGCTCCTACAACTTGTGATTCGACTCTTGAGAGAGAATCCTCCTTTGTCACAGAGAATATCATCATGAGGACTTGACAAACCCTTTGAAAATAAAAGAAAATCCAGCTTTGGAACTTACTCAACTATCCCGTCAAACTATTAGGCCTACACTTTCTCAAAACCCTAATTTTCAAAACTTCACTTCCCTTTTGGTATAAATCTCTGAAGTTGGTTGGGGGCATAAGATCATTAATACTCAAAGTTGTGTCGTTTTGATAATCTCTCGCTGCTTTCACCCCCAAGTAAGTTTCTCTTACTACTCGAGATTATATTCTCTGTTTGTTGATTTGTGAATCCCCATTTTGTTGAGTTTCTTCTGACTCGAGCTTATACTCTCTGTTCAGGCTTGCTGTATTCCAAACGATGGATCTTGAGTTTGATGATTCACACTTTATGCACCCTACTAGAACGAGAAAACAAGAAAGAGATGAGCTTCGTACAGATTTCATAACTTTCGTGGATTTAATGCTGGCTTTGCAAGGGAACAATCCTTTGAACAAATTCTCAGTCAAGTGTAAAGATGATGTTGGTTCAGCACCTGTCATTGCTTGGATAAACAATGTCTTGAATCTTGACGTGTCAGTGCTTGTTCTCCACATCTCTTCGTACTGGGATTGGCCTCTGTCTTCTGAAGTTACTGTGAGCGAGAGAATGGTTCATGAGTTTTGGCAATCTTGCTCTGTGTCTAGCACAAGCCTCAAGAGACTAACGTTTCGTTTTCAGCAAAGACGCGATGAGAACCCCAAGAGTGTTTCCTTTGATACTCCTAATCTTGTTTACTTTGAGTATTCTGATACTATTGCGGACCAGTATCCCATAGTGAATTTTAATTCGCTAACTGGAGCGAGTCTCAATCTCCGAATGGCGCATGATCAGATCAACAAGGCAAAGTTTTCAGATGATGATCTTATCAAACCAGATGAAGGGATGGTCGGAAATGCAACAGATCTTATCATTGGAATCTCAAATGTAAAGACTCTTTACTTATCTGACAACACTCTTGAGGTCAGTCTCTGCTCTGTCCTTATATATCTTATAGTACTTGGGATCATAAATGAGTGCTCATGTAGTCATGTGGCTTATTTGAGTTTTGTTTCAGGTACTTAGTTTCTGCTGCGAACCAATGCCAACTTTTAACAACCTGATTCGGTTAACTATCAAGACTGACAGAGATGTAGGATGGGAATCATTGACGGCTTTACTCAAGAACAGCCCAAACTTAAAAACACTTATCTTCGATGTACCAAATCTATATCTCTTACACCATCTTTTGTTGATACATTGTTCAAACTAAGGCAGATTTGAAACAAGCTTACTTTTGTGTTTTAGGGGCTTCTCCATAGATTTGGAGACAAGTGTAAAAGTACTGACGAGTGTTTGTGCAGTCCTTGGGAGGAGGAGGACATTCCCACTTGCCTATCATCAAGTCCTGTGAAGGTTTTAAAGATATTGAAGTTTGGAGATATCTATGAAGATGAGGACATGGACCAAATGATGGAGCAAGTCGTCTACTTTCTCGAGACAATGCCGAATCTTAAAAAACTCATAATACACTACGAAACGTCCATAGACGAAGATGTGGAAGAAGTACTAACACAGTTTCAGATGGTTTCTAGAGAAGGTCTAACCAAGTGCAAGATTCAAGTAATCTCTCATAACCTAACCTTGTCCTCTACTTAAAAGCATGTTTCCTTTTCTGGTTTCTCAAGTTGTCCTCCACTTAAAAAAGCATGTTTCCTTTTCTGGTTTCTCAAATCTTTTGTTTTGGATTCACTCATGCCTCTTTTCACAATGTCAAAAGCCATGAGTTGGTCTCGGCTTTATGTTTGTAATAGTATCTAAGGACTTGTATTTTATTATGCTTTTGTTGGTTAGGCCAAGAATGTTAACTTAATCTTAATGTCTATAGTTTTTTTTTAATATTTCGCTATAAGCTTTGCTTTGTCTTTGATCCTCTAGTCGGATCCTAGTGAGGATAAACAAAATGTTTGCTTCATTAAGACGAAAATAGAAAATTTGAGCTTCAAATTATAAAAACAGGTCTTATCAAATTTCTAAAACTTTGCATGTATTTAATACCTGAGAATGATATGATTTAGAATTTTAAACCGTGTGAGATAAAGAAGAAAGCTCAAATATATATATGTCTCTGTTTATAGCTTCAAACTCTTCACTCTGACCTCCAATACTTAGCCATTTCAAATCCATTTTTGGCATTGCGATAGTCCCCAATTGTCATATCAATCTCAGCCTGTGAGTTCATCACAAATGGTCCGTGCTGAACTACAGGCTCCCCGATCGGTTCCCCTGCAATCAACAAGAACCTCAATGGCCTAGAGCTTGACGTATTCCACACGCTAACTCCATCTCCTGTTCCAAATACAACAACATTATGTGCTTTTACTGTGGAAGAGTCTGAGGAACTAAACACGCCTTCATCGCCTTGTATAACGTAGGCAAAGGCGGTCCATGACTCTGGGATTGTCTGGTGGGTATGAGCTCTTGGCTCGAGAGTAAAGTCAAGGAACATGATTGGTGTTTTTGTATAGAAAGGAGACTGGACTCCCATTGAATCTCCGGCTATGACTTTGACCTCTGCTCCATCTTTCTCTGCTCTCGGAATACCAGTGCTGGATATTACTTTGTTTTTTGGCTTGATCCTGTCACAAATCAAAGAACACAGATCTTATAAAACATTGAGAAATCTGACTATAAGTAGAATCTCCACCATGAAGAAGCTTCTTGTACATCTTGTCACTGGAAGAGAGGTTGATCCAGAGCTGTATGCCATTGTTAACTTCTTCGTCGGGCATTTCCGAATGAATAATTCCTCTTCCTGCTGTCACCCACTGCAATATAACCAGGATGCAACAAGAAAGCTTAATAAGAGTATTCAATAGTCTTTTTGGTCTGTCATGTATTATGTTTTTTTTTGTTTCACCTGAACATCTCCTTCATGGATTGTACCTTTATGACCATTAAAGTCTTGGTAAATGATGCCTCCCTATACAAGTTGAATCGATAAGAAAGCAAAAGTAAAAGCTTTGATTAATTGACTCGAATCCTGGATGAAGATTTGTTTCTCACTTGCAACATGTATGTAACACTTTCAAATCCTGTTCAGTACACAGTTTATGTAATTACATCAGAAACATTACAGAACAGAGCAAGCAGATGTATAAAAAAAATGAAAATAGGTGATTTGACCTCTATGAGGATGATCTCTGAATCCACCAGGAGGTGAAACTGATCAAGAAACAGAGCAAATCAGAACACACAAGAAATTGCTGCTTAGATTATCAATTATCCTATATTAAGTGAATATCAAACTCACAGTTTTTAATTCACACATTGGGGAAGTAAAAGGAACATTACCGGAAAATTCAGCTAGCGAGACGAACGGGTCCAATAACTCATGGTCACTCCTGAATGAAATTAACCATGCACAAGTTATATAAACGAAACTTGAAGATGAAGCAATCGGCTTTACCTGTGAAAAAAATGATAAACGATATTATAAAGCAAACTCACTGGGTGATGCCTTGTCTAATAACAGCAGCGTCACCTCCATTCTCTAAATTTGCAATTATCTTCTTAATGATCTGCCTCGATGGCATGGTGATGATGATGATTGATAAACTATGTTAGTGTACCTTTTGTCTTCGTTTGTTTTAATCAAGGATCACTAATAACAAAAAGCTTTATGCTTTTATTCAATACAGGATGATAATATTTTGGGGTTTTTTTTCTTTTCTTTTTTTTGACGTGCGTTCATATTTATATTTCACATTAATACGTGAATCTAATAAAAAGCAAAGACAAATTACCCCGAAATTATAGGAAATTTAAATGCTGATGTAAGTATGTTATACGATTCTCGTCTCCATAATTGTTTGTTTGTAAGTTGTAAATTGTAATACATATTGTACCAATTTTTCATAAATGTAAACTTTCTATAGAGTAGGAGATTTTCATAAATGTAAACTTTCTATATAATGGAAATTTTCTATAATAGTTTTTTTATAATATCAATAGTTATGAATGAATAGGAGAATTAGCTTTTGATGTTAATAAATAAGATCATCCCAAAATTCATTGATTTGTTCCCTGAATATTTTTAAGAGGTTTTTATATTTTTATATAAATTAAAAATTACTAAGATACATAAGATTATGATGAACTCCTAATTTTTTGTTTAACTCCTAACTTTATTTTATATTTACTTAAAATATATATATATATATATATATATATTTAGTTCTAAAAGTCACCAAAAACATACAAACCACGTCCACGACGTCGTCCCGCCACGATGTTGTACTACATTCCCAATTTCAGAAAACCCTAATTTTCTCTTCCACTTACCAGTTACCAAAATTTGGGTGAACTCTGCGTCAAAACCCAAGTAAAGTTTCCTCATTTCTTATATTTCATCTTCTTTTCGTTTTGTAATTTGTTGTAGTGTCGAATTTTAATTGTTTTTTTTCTTTCTTTTCTGGCAATTTTATTTTGTGAGTGTGTTTTTGATTAAAGACTGGTTCGCAGTTTGGGATTTGAGAAAGACGTATTTGGAATTAAGCTTCTGAATAGCTCCCAAGTAAACATGTCATTTTCTTTGTTGTAGGTCGTAAGTGTTGAGATAGATCTGTCACTATGAAATCGAAAAAGACAGACTTTGGTCCCAGAGATATAATCAGTGGTCTACCAGAAGCTCTGATTTGCCACATATTGTCATTCCTACCCATTGAAGATGCTGCTTTGACTTCAGTTCTCTCCAAAAAGTGGCGCTATCTCTTTGCTTACAGGCCAAATCTTATTTTCGATGGCTTGCTGCATATACAACATCGTGCGGTTGGTAACACAGAGAAGGAATTGATTCTCAGCAGATTTATGGCTTTTGTGGATAGAGTATTGGAGTTGCAAGAGAGTTGTGCTATAAACAAGTTCTCTCTTTTGTGCGGACATGGTGTTCGTCCATATTTTGTCACAGATTCCATTTTAAAGGTGTTGCGACGTGGGGTAACGGAGCTTGATTTACACGTCTCTCTGGATGAGGGTCGTCTGCCTTCTGAGGTCTTTGAGAGCAAGTCACTGGTCAGCCTGAGGATTGAATCTGGAAATGTTTATGGCATTGATGTGCAAGGTGTTTCTCTTCCAAAGCTCAAGACTCTCTTCCTTCATAGAGTTATGTTAGGACAAGCTGAGGATTGTTTTCACAAGCTTACATCTGGTTGTCATGTCCTTGAGGAACTATTTCTCCTTAGAGTTTACTCTGATTTTTGGAACCGCTCTCTGTCTTCCAATTCCCTCAAGAGACTAACGCTATACTGTCTAGACTCTGACCAGAATCCAGATCATGTTTCTTTTGATACACCCAATCTTGTTTATTTTAACTACTCTGATAATATTGCGCGCAAGTATCCAAAAGTGAACTTTGCTTCCCTCGTTGAAGCTACTATCTACCTTGCAATGACACGTGATCAGTATGCACATGCAAACTATGGAAATTTGGTCGCCAATGCAACAGACTTTTTTAGGGGAATATGCAATGTTCAGATCCTTTACTTATCTGCCAGCACTCTTGAGGTTTGTTAGCGTAGCATCGATAAATGATTTTATACAAGTTAGTGATTGGATATGAGTGAAGAGTGATGATATTGTTGCTGTGGTTTCTGTTTCAGGTTCTTACGTTCTGCTGTAAACCAGTACCGACATTCAACAAGTTGGTTCATTTAACTGTTGAAACCCATACAGTAGGATGGGAATCATTGCCAACTCTACTCAACAACTGCCCAAATCTAGAAACTCTTGTTTTCGAAGTACCAATACATATCCTTTAACTGCATCTGCTAACTCGATTTTCAAAGAAACTAGATTTTGATGTTGTGATTACTCTTTTGATTCAGGGACTCCACCACAAATATACAATCAAATGTGGGGATGTTGACGGGTGCCTATGCAAATTTTCAGGGGAGGTTCCTATTTGCTTATCGTCAAGTCCGGTGAAGTTCCTAAAGGTACAGAGATTTGGTGAAAATGGTATAGAGAATCAGATAGAGCTGGTCAAGCACTTCCTAGAGACAATGCCACGTCTTGAACAACTGACAGTACACTACGTTGCATCAATTGATGATGATGTGAATAAAGTGTCAAGCCAACTTAAGGACTTTGCAAGAGTAGCTTCACCAAATTGCGAGATCCAAGTTGTATCTGATCACCTCAACTAAAACAAGACCCTCCTCTTCTTTCTTTCTGCCTTTATGTTCTAAGCTTTTGTGTGACTTGTGTATGAAAGATTATATGCCATTTTGATTGGGAATGCTCGAATTATCGTTTTCTTGTTTCGGTTCTTAGTTTGAGTAGCTAATTTGTCCTACAAGCCACTCCAAACAAAAGAAAATAAGCCTAATTAAATTTCTGAAACAGAGCATTGTTCTTTTTATCCAAGAGTAGAGAACAACACCCAACGAAAAAAAACCGAACAACATATGACGCACGTGATAAGCACACGTGGAAAAACCTCAAAACCCTCCGACTCGGCTTACAAAAACTGACCTTAAGGATTGCAAAAACCCTAATCTACTCTTCCGCTTCCCCTCTCGCTATCAATCTTCAGAGTTGTCAGTTTTGATCTCATTCCCAAGTGAGAGGTATCCCGATTTCTTCAAATGGTGATTTTGTGATTCCTTAATATTTTGCTTTTCCTGGGGTTTGTTTTCTGTTTGATTCGAAACTGTGTTAGTCAAGTATGTCAAACTCGTTTACTTACTGTTTGAGATCTATCTATCATGTTATTTTTTTTATCAGGTTTTGAGATCTGTCAAGATGGACATATGTTGCAAAGATATAATCAGTAATCTTCCAGAAGCTCTGATTTGCCACATATTATCGTTTCTTCCCATAAGAGTAGCTGCTTTAACATCGCTTCTCTCCAAGAGATGGCGGTATCTCTTTGCTTTCGTACCAAATCTTGATTTCGATGATTCGGGATGCAGGCCCCATGAATTGGCTCGTATGATTTTTATGAATTTCGTGGATAGAGTATTGGTTTTGCAGGGCAACTCTGCAATAGATAGGTTCTCACTCAAGTGTAACAACGATTATAATTATCCAAGTCGCATCTCTAGTTGGATATCAAATGTGATAGAACGTGGGGTATCGGATCTTGACTTAAGCGGTACTAACATTTCCGATCATTCCATGCATTCAAGTGTCTTTGTGAGCAAGTCACTTGTTAGGCTGAGAATAGAAACTCTATATTGTAACGTCATTGATGTTTTTCTTCCAAAGATTAAGACTCTGCATCTCGATTCTGTTGTTTTTGGGGACGGTGATAGTTGCCTCGTCAAGCTCATCTCTGGCTGTCATGTCCTTGAGGAGTTAGTTATGATTGATCTAAATTGGGGTGCTTATTGGAAGCGCTCTGTGTCTTCCAAAACCCTCGAGAGGCTAACGGTACGTTATGAAAACTGGGATAGGAGTCTGGATAGTGTTTCATTTGATACGCCCAATCTCGTCTACTTTGGATACTCCGACTATCTTGCCAACAAGTACGTAATAGTTAATTTCGACTCACTTGTTGAAGCTAGTATCGGTATTCAAATGACACGTGATCAGTGTGCACATGCAAGCCATGGAGATTTGGTCGTCAATGCAACTGAACTTTTTATGGGGATAAGCAATGTTCAGATCCTTAACGTATCTGCCGACACTCTTCAGGTTTGTATCTTAATCCCATTTTTATTTTAGGTTTGTTTTTTGATCATCTTTCGGTTACTTTGAAAACAACCAAGCTAGTAAAATCTGAGGACCCTTGTAGTTTGCGTTACATATATAGTTGACTTGGGCTTTTGTTTCAGGTACTTGCTTTCTATTGTGAACCAAAACCGGTTTTTAAAAACCTGATTCACTTGACTGTTGAGACTCACCAGGACTTCAGATGGGAGTCATTGCCGGCTCTACTCAACAACTGTCCGAATCTAGAAACCCTCGTCTTCGACGTACCACCCACATGTCCTTTTACTGCATTTTCTAACACAACTTTTCAAACAAAACTAGATTATATAAGCTGTTTTTTCATCTATAATTTAGGGACTCCATGACAAAAACACAGTTAAATGTGTGGACGCTGACAGGTGGCTATGGAGATCTTCAGAGGACATCCGTAGTTGCCTATCATCAAGTCCGGTGAAGGTTTTGAAGATACTCAACTTTGGCGAGGTTCGTTTTTACAGTAAAGAAATGGAAAAGCGAAAGGAGCTGGTCAAGTATTTCCTGGAGACAATGCCGAATCTTGAACAAATGATACTGTGCTACAGAAGTCGAATTGATGAAGATTTGAAAAGCCAACTTGAGAGGCTAGCTCCTAGAGGAGCTTCACCCAAGTGCAGTGTCCAACTAATCTTAGAGAACGTCATCCCACCAACTTATAACCTTTTCTCTTTGTTCTAGTTTTTAGCACAAAACCATTTTATTTCTAGACAAACGTTTTGTTTTAATTATTTAGTTTCATTGTACTATTATATTAGAGAATTAGTCCAACAAAAAAGTGCAGAATCCAACTAATATGCGATAACATCATCGCACCAATTCATCCTTTCTCTAGTAGCAGACTAAATGAGAGAATCATCCTTTTATCTCAGAGAAGATTAGCAAAGCTTTGCTTCTGGCTTTTTGCACAAAATTATATAGTTTGGTCTATGTTGTAGATGACCATTGCGGAGAAAGCTTGTTATGAGTTTCCCTCTCAGAGAGTCAGAGTCTTGACGAGAGACTCTGTTTACTTGAATCTTACCTTCGGGGACATACTCTCGTCGGTCTCAGACTTCACTTCTTCCAGTGTTTTTTTTTTTTTTTTTGGTAAGGGAAAGGGAGAAACTCCCAAATTAAGAAAAGAAACGAAAAGAAAAAGGAAAAAATTAAATACAAATTCTCCGCGGTAGCGTAGCTCCACGCATATCCTCCAAAGCAAGTGCATCTACACAGGCCGGACGATCTTCTAACAACTGAAAGCCTAACGGCAAGGAATAAGCATAGTTTGCTAATCCGTCGGCAAGACGATTAGCTTCCCTATACACATGAACGATACGGACGATCCAGTCCCTCGATATGAAGCCATGGCACAACCGTACCAGGAAAGACAGCGAATGAGTGTCACCAATCCCTGTCTCAAAAAATCCCACTGCCAACTCCGAGTCCACCTCCAACACTAGACGGGGTCTTCCAGTGTTAATTTCAAAGACTTTGAACGAATCAGAGCCTTTATCGTCATGTTTTGAAACAATTGTTTAATGATTAATTATAGCATGTATAATAAACGGAAAGCCCACGACTTAACAAACAAAAGCCCACTAATCCAAACACTGAGTTTATTTATTATTATTATTATTTAATAAAGGTTTTTGATTAATTTCCTTTTCTAACAACAATTTCCTTTTTCTTAGCGATATAAAATTTTCCTTTTTCCTTCAAACAGCAAAAGTGAAATTTCCTTTTTTAATAACACCAAAAATTTTACAATTTTCCTTTTTTCTTTATTCTTATAAAAAGGAAATTTTCATTGTTCAGTTTTGGTCGACACCTCTCTGTTTATAAATACAAACACTCACTTTGTTAATCTGGAAAAATCAAAATTAGAACACAAACTCTCTTCTTCGGAGACTGAGAGACAGAGCGAGAGAGAGCGTTAGATTCTAATGGCGACGATAGAGAGTTTAAGCACACCTGAACAAGTCAGAGGAGGTATCATCTCGTGTTTTTGTAACCCTATAAATCGATTTTATTTTCGTGTGAATGTTTTTGCTTTTGAAATTAAGAATTTCCTTCTCACAGGTTTAATGGCGACGTGATAGCGTTCGATTATAGTGGCGACGAGAGAGCAAAAGAAGTCAGAGGTATCTTTCTAAACATATGAATCGATTTGATTTTGAAATAAGAGTTTCGTGTTTATATGTGACACTCTTAATTAATGGGTTTATTTGGTTTTTCGTTTGGGTGAAACGAAACAGAAGTGTGTTCGGGTTCCAACCAGGACGATGAATCAGTATTTTTTCAAGGAAGAAGTTGATTCCGAACAAAAGCGGTCGCTGGCCTTTTTACAGTAAGTAACAACATCAAACTGATTGATTAAAAGGTAATATAGGTCTTTGTCTTGACCGCTTCCTCTTGTAATGTGTTGAATCTGTTCACTGCAGGCGAACGAGTGTTCAAAACAAGTTTTTCGAAGGTTGAAGTAGATTCAGAACTCAGACGGTCGGCAGCAGCGTAAGACAGTAAGTAACAACATCAAACTGATCGATTAAAAGGTCTTTGCCTTGTCCACTTCCTCGAATTTGCTTTTTTCAATTTTTACATGGGAATGTTAGTAAGATTTTGATTTCACTTAGGTTGTTGTTTAAACGAAACTTCTTCTAATTCAAATTTTTTTTTTGTGAAGATCCGGAGATATACTATGTTTTGAAGAATGTAGAAGATTCAGAACCACACTAAAACAAACTTGGCCTTACGGTAACAACGTCAAATGAGAATTTTTCATTGTTTTCTTTATTGCTTGTCTAGACGATGGAGGTATATATATATATATATATATATGGTTCACTTTTTCTATGACTGTAAAGTTTAGGGATGACCGGCGCAAGTCAACAACAATAACAACAATGGGAAAAATTCTTTGTAAGTAAACACTTAACCAATAACAATCTCTTTTCTTTTTCTTTTGTGTGTTATATATCTTATCAGTTTCACATTCTCTTCTCTACTCTCAGAATCCAAGCATTGTTGATGAATTGGAAGTATCGGTTGGAAGTATCGTTTATGTGTCTTTGCATTTGATGGATGTTCCAGAGGACATGGCGTTATTCTTCAAATCTCATCTGATTTGACGAAAAGGTAACTGATTCTTGGTGTTTACTGTGTGTGTTGTCAAGTCTCATCTGAATGTTTTGCTTTTTTTTTTTCAGATTCTCTGAAGAAGCTATCTACTAAAACAACTCATCACAGGAGGATAGAAGAAGTTCAGTCGTCGAGGCAAATAAATGAGACTGAGATTTTCGGTTTTGTTGTTGTTGATTCTGCATATGATGGAGATTTTTACGCTCTTCCCGTTATTATTATTAAGGATGATGCTGGATTGTGGACCCAAACGTTGGAAAACTCCTCTTCTTATTGCTTTGTAAGTCATCTCAAATTCCTCTCTGCTTTTCTTTATTTCCTTCTGTTTCAATTTTATATATCTTCTTCAACTAGCAATCCTTTTATTGTTTTTGTGTTTGTTGAACAACAAGGTGCAACTGAAGTGGAACTCGACAAGGCACCAGAATTCAAAGCCAAACCTTGTGAAGAAGAAGGTACTTGATTTCCCTTCCACAGGTAATAAACTATTGAAACTCATTAATTCCTTTTGATTAGATTCAGGGTGCTGATGTTAAAAATAGCACAACCAATCTGATTTAGGAACATCATAGCCATATCATGAAATGTAAGATCACCTTGAGGAACAAAATGGTCCAAATAGATTATACACCATTTGAGTCTAACTAGATTCAGAACAAAAACGGTCGCTGGCGTTCTTACAGAACAATATCAAACTGATTTTAAAAGGTAATTTAGGACCTTGTCTTGACTCAGCAGATACTCTTCTCTTGTGCGCTTCCTCAAATTTGGGTTTTTATTTTTTGGTTTCAGTTTTAGCTGGGAATGTGACTGTGATTTTGTTTTCACTTAAGCTGTTGTTTTGATTCAGACTTCAAAAGAATTTTAACGAAGCTTCGTTTAATTTTATATTTTTGTAGGAGATATGATATGGTTTGAAGAATGATGAAGATTCAGAACCAAAAAAAGCAGCAACATCAAACTGATTCTTCTAGTTATTGGTGTCGTTGAATCTATACATCTTTCCTTCCTCGTGCACTTCAATTTTCCAATCTTTCAGTCGGTAAGTCTAATTAATTATTTGCTTTAAAGTTTATCTTGTCACAGATTTTACTAAACTTTTAGATTGGATTGATACTACCAATCTGATTCAGCAAAACCAAAGCCATCACAAGGAAAAAAAGCTAAATGATGGAAAATCAAGATAGGTGAGCCAAATTATTGTTTCAATATCATCTAGAATGTGTTGCATTTTAAATAGGATTTTCATTGTTCTTTTATATGGGAACCTGAGGCGTTTGTTTCTTTTTCAGATTTTGTGGAATAGCTCTCTACCAAGGAGAAAACAAGCTCATTCCTCGACGCAAAAAAGAGTCCCATTGCTGGTTTTGAACAAGTTAGGCAAGCCGTTCCACATTACTCAACAAAATCACTAAATGTGTTCGGTTTAGTTCAACCATCCATATATAAAGTGAGACTGAGATTTTTGGTTTTGGTGTTGCTGATGCGCTAGATGGAGGAGATGTATGGTTTGTTCTTCCCATTAATGTTGGGGATGAAACTGGGTAAAGGTCCTAGACGATGGAGTACCCCTCTTCATTCTTTGTAAGTACAGTAATCTCTGATTCCTTTATACTTTTCTTTAATTTTTCCTGACTATTCAGTGATCTTTTTTTTTTTTTTTTGTTGTTGAACAACAAGGTGCTACTGAAGTGGAACTCGACAAGGCACCCGATTTCAAAACAAAACCCTAAGAATGAAAAGGTACTTGTCGTTTGTATATATTGAAAGGAAAGCTTCTGCCCAAAGAAAAGAAAATAAAAGGAAAGCCCACGGCTTAAAATAAACAACAAAAGGCCCATATATTTAGTCTAAGCGGTGCGTTTTTCAACAAAAGGCAAAAAACGCAGCGTTTTTAGAAACTAAATAAACTTGCTCATCTAGAAAGTTCCAAGAAGAAAATGAAGCAGTTTCGTCTCTAGTTCTTTCTTCACTCTCCATCTCTGGGTTTCTAGATTAAGTTCTTAATCGATCCTTTGCTTGTAGATTTCATCATTTTCTTTGAGTTTGTGGTTTGATTGGAACGGATTGGTTCGGTAGGATTTAAGTGCAAGAAGATATGGATCGGATCATATTAAGCGATCTTCCAGATGATCTTATCAGGCGAATCGTGAGCTTTCTTGCTGCAAAGGATGCTGCGTCTTTGCTGGTTCTCTCAAAGAGGTTTAGGAATGTATATACCATCATACCAGATCTTGTGTTCGACGACAGAGCTAAGTTTCAGGGGACTTTCACGGGTCTTGTGAGTGAAGCGTTGGCTCGGCTGGAAACTACTACGTGCATTAGGAGATTCTCTTTAAAATCTGAAAGGGGTCTTGATTCAGATCGTATCAACCACTGGCTACGTGATGTGTTGAACAATCGTGGTGTCAGGGATCTTGAAATGGGTATATATGGTGATAATGGATATATATTGCCTTTGGAGATCTTCACTTGCAAGACACTCAATAAGCTGAAATTAGGGCGGGAGATTGTTATCAGTTTGCTGCCTCAGAATGCTTTGCTTCCATCGCTCAAGACTCTCATTTTTGAATCAGTTTGGTTCTGTAATCTTGATGATTGTGCGTTCCAGGCGTTTCTTTTGGCTTGCCCTGTGCTTAAGGAACTAACCATCGATGGTATGTACTGGGAAACTTGGAAATGGTCTGGCATCGTGTCTAGTCGAAGTCTTCAAAGACTTACTATTGGTCGTGAACTGATAAATTTTAAAGGACCTGATCCGCAGAACATTATTTTTGATACTCCGAGTCTTGCCTACTTAGACTACAGTGATTTTGTCCCGGATGGGTATACAATTGTTAATTTCGAGTCCCTTGTGGAAGCTAAGCTCAATCTTCTCGTGATGGTAAATCGCCGATGGAATGAAGTATTTGCAACTGATGGTGATATCCTGTCTAGCAATGCAACAAATCTGATTCAAGGGATAAGAAATGTCCAGATCCTGGAGTAATCATGTCCTTATACTTTTCAGGTAAGTGTGTTATTCTTTCTTCTTTTGATTTTGTAGTAGGTGAATCAAACGTGCATCTTAAGTTCCATAGGATGTTGCAAACCTGTTTCCTAAGGTTTTGATTACTGTTGATTTGATTTCAGACGCTTTACTTCTTTCGTGATGCGATTCCCGTATTTGAAAAGCTACATCATCTAACTATGATGCATGATAATGCGGGATTCTGTTGGAGATTTCTTCCCTTTTTGTTAAACAAGGCTCCAAATCTGAAGACCCTTGTTATCGAGGTATGACAATATATTTTGAGCAAACCATTATTTATAAAACCTCCTGGTATATACACTTAAATCTTCGATCTCAACCTCTTGCTGCAGGGTGGAGTGCATTATCTTGAAGAACCTGACAATGTTGAAGAACCTGAGAATGCTGAAGAACTTGACTATGTTGAAGAAGCTGACAATGTTGAAGAACCTGATTATGTTTGCGAGTGTTTGTCGGGATATTCTTGTCTATTGACATGTCCTGTAGAGGTCTTGGAGATAACTTTATGGGATAGCGGGACGACTGGCGAGTTGCAGCAAGTAAAACATTTCTTAGGAAAGTTGCCACGTCTGGAGCTGCTTATAGTTTATACTTGGTCAAGAATAAGCGACAGTGAAAAGTTAAGAATCGAGACGGATCTTCAGATGTTTCCGAGAGCTTCATCCAAGTGCAGAATCCAGCTCAGTATTAAATGAAAACTAGTAGTAGCTCAGCTGCTCAGGCATGAAGAAAAAAACTTTGGTCCTCCTAGCTGCTTAAAGTCTGTTGGAACATGAATCGATTTGTGCACGTTCTTGGTCACTTTATCTCTTGTTACTCCCTTTGGTATTTTTATTAATTGGATTCTCCTAGTTATATTCAGTCTGTGTCTATCTTTGTATCTCAGTTAGCTTCGATAGGCTCTTAGTTTAGGTCTCAACTGAACATGTGAACTTCTTTCAGCGTGAGAAAGATTTAGTCAGAAGGTGGATGTTATTTTGTTTTTTTGTAAATGTTTCAGAATTGTACTTGCTACCAAGCAAATGTCGATCACTTGGGACTATCTCGGGTTTAAAAAGCATTTGCAATCACAATAGATATACAAGATATTTAGGTTTAGTAAGAGACAACTTGTTCCCCTCTTAGTAATCATCCAAAATATCAAAACGTTTTTTTGTAGAACTAGTCCCTAAATCACTACTCACTAGTGTCACTAGCCTTGAGAGACTCTAGCAAGGCCGGAATCTTAGCTTTGAGGAGAGACTCTCGTCATATCAGAGTCTTCACTGTAGCACAAAACACATTACCGGTTTGTTAAACCAAGGGAACCGGGTAAAATGGAACCAACATTGACATTTTCAATTTTGAACCGCAATTACATTTTCTGCTGCCCTTGTCTTCCACTCTTCCTCTTAAAAAGCGGACCTTTTCTCTCTCTCTCTCTCTTTGCGGTTTTGCCCTTTCGCTTGGTATTTTGCATTTTCTTAATACGAGCGCGATTAACCACTCCCAACTCTCATCGTCTCGCATCTCTGTGGTCGCATTCACCAAAATATCTAATTTTGGGGTCTTGGACTACGCGTTTGAAACGAGGTAGATGCCGCAAGTTATACTGACTGATTATGTTCTCTTCTTTTGGTGGATTCTTATTTGCGTTGGGGAACTGGGCTTTTCTATGTTATATATGTTTCATGTTTTGAACTAATTGTTTAGCTTATCGACGTATTTCTTTCCACTTGCTCTGTTTGTAGATGATGAGCAGTCATGTTACTGCTGATGTTGTTATAAAAAGCTTTGAAATTTATGTTCTTAATTCTTTCCCTGCAGAGACAAATGGATCGTATTAGCACTCTACCAGACGAGCTTCTTTGTCTTATATTGTCCTTCCTTACAACAAAGGAGGCTGCTTTGACTTCGATTCTCTCAGTGAGGTGGCGCAATCTGCTTGCATTTGTTCCTAATCTAGATATCGACGACTATGCGTTTCTGCATCCCGAAATGGGTAAAAGGGAAAGGGAGGGAGTTCTACAGAGCTTCATGGCTTTCGTGGATAGGGTTTTGGCTTTGCAGGGTAATTCTCCCATTAACAAATTCTCCCTCAAGTGTAGAACTGGGGTTGATCCAGCTCGTGTGGATGGTTGGATGAGTAATGTGCTAAGCCGCGGTGTTTCGGAGCTTGATCTGTTAATCATTTTGGGTATGGATATGGAAGATAGCTATCGGCTGTCTCCAAAAGGTTTCGAGAGCAGGACTCTAGTTAAGCTCAGAATTGACTGTGGAATTGATATTAGTTGGTTGGCTGGGAGCATTTTCTTACCAGTGCTTAAAACTCTCATTCTTGACTCAGTTGCGTTTTATGTTGATAAGTTTGAGATTCTTCTTCATGCTTTGCCTGCGCTTGAGGAATTAGACCTGGTTGATGTAAACTGGAGAGATCGGGATGTCACCGTCTCAAATGCAACCCTCAAGACCCTAACAATTGATTCCGACGGTCATTTAGGCACTTTTTCGTTTGATACACCTAGTCTTGTTTATTTCTTTTACTCTGATTATGTTGCGGAAGACTATCCCCTAGTTAAAATGGAAAACTTGCGTGAGGCTCGAATCTTCCTTTTGGTTACTGATGATGAAATAGAGCGACTAAGAGCGCCAAATAATGATTGGTTAGAGGATGATATGGACGATGTTGTTCCCCGATTTCAACATGTGGGGAAGCTCATGAATGGCATACGCAATGTTGAGTATCTCGACTTGTCTTCTGATACTCTCGAGGTCAGTTTTTCTTTTTCTTCTTTTCATACTAATATTCACCTGGTCTCGGGGATATAAAAGAAAGAAATTTGGACTTGTCTCAATACCTGGAGCACAGTGGTCATATTAGTTTCGTCCTGAATACTTTCTAGGCATCTTTTGATTTGTAACTCAATTCGCTTCGATGTGTTCTTAGTTGATGTTTTAACACTTCATATGTAATTGCAACATGTCTAGCTGTGTTTTATCCTCTTCTCAGGCTCTTTCTCTATGCTGTGAATCGATGCCAGTGTTCAAAAACCTCAGATCGTTAGCTATTAAAAGTAACCAAGATCGAGGATGGCAAGCAATGCCAGCTCTTCTAAGGAAGTGTCCACATTTAGAATTTCTAGTTATTGAGGTATAAAAACAACCCATTTGCCAAACGTGAACAAAGATAGAGTTCATACTTTGAATCTCTTATTGTCTTCTTTATGTTTTCAGGGTCTCTTGCACTATGTCACAGACAAATGCGGGGATGCTTGTGACTGCATTTCTCGGGAGGAGAAAGGTCGTTCGCTCACATCCTGTCCGGTAAAAAGATTAGAGATACATGGGTTTCAAGGAACAAGCAAAGAGATGCAAATGATAAAGCATTTCTTGGACCACATTCCTAGTTTGAAGGAGATGGAGATATATGCTGACGAGAATGGTCCTACAAACCTTGAAGCTCCTGGGATGCTTGAACGAAATGCGCATCTTTTTACACTCTACAACCACCTTTATACTTGTGATGTCCAGTTTATGGTGCGTGTTTCCTTTTATAAGAACTTGACTGCACAATGATAAGTCTTCAAGGAAGAAAACTTACTTAATAGTTTGGTCAAACTCTCCGTTGGACCCTTGTTTACCAAGTCATTTCAGTTTTATTTATCTGTTACATCTCCTTCCCCTTTCCTCAGACAAGTTTGCTAGATTTTTTCTCTTAATTCTCTCCCTGTTTCTCTTCTGCAATTTGTAAAACACCTAGGGTAGTCACAATTTTTTTCTTGGTTATATGGAGGGAAATGGTCGATTACAATAAACCCACTGACTATAAAGGAATTTATATTATAGAATTCAGATCAGTTTTATTTGAAAACTAGTAGCTAAAACATGACGAAGAAACTTTACTCCTCCTATTATGTTAAGTCTGTTGAAACATGAACTGTTGAACATGTTTTGATTTGAATCTCATTCTCTCGCACTCTCTCTTCAGTCGACGTGAAAAAGATGTAATCAAAAGGTGGATGTTTTTTTCTCTTTGCACGTGATGTTGTAGATATGACAATTGGGAGAAAGCTTCGTTATGAGAGTTTCCCTCTTGACGCAGAGGACTCTGTTACTCGGAATCTTACCTTTGGGGAGAGACTCTAGCCGGATCAGAGTGATTCACTTCTAACTGTGTTAATTTCAAAGACTCTCAAGTCTCAACGATGCAGAGCCTGTCATTTCATGTTTTGAAACATTCGTTTAGTGATTAATTTTAGCATCTATTATAAATAAAAAGCCCACGACTTAACAATGCCGAATCTTGAACAATTGATTGTGTGCTACCTACCATACACGGATCGGTGAAGATCTGAAAAGCCAACTTGAGAGGCTAGTTCCTAGGGGAGCTTCATCCAAGTGCAGTGTCCAACTAGTATGTGATTACGTACTCACACCAATATATCCTTATTCTGGTATCATGGACGACTAAATGGGAGATTGTCTTCCTCTCTATCTCAGAGGAAGATTTGCAAAGCTTCTTGTTCTAAGTTTATATCTTCCCCTGTTGTTTGTGCCTTGCTTTTTTAAGCTTCCCAATATGCATCTTCACTTTTTTGGGTGTTGTATATAAAGTTATGTCTCTTACGGGCTTGAAGTTGTTTATTGAATAGCTTTTGTTGTAGTTCCAAGAAAAGTTTGGTCTCTGTTCTGTAATCTGTCTTACTCTTCTGGCGTCTCAATATTTTATTTTCACTTTTTATTTATGTGTAAGATAAATAAACATCATAACACCAATTTTTAGACACGAACGGTTCCGATAACTCGTGGGACACTAATATACTACACGTACAATAATACATCAAAATGGTGATGATTATCTTAGTTTAAAATCAACTTACGAAGAAGAAGCTTCGAAATTGCGAGACGAGAGATGTAAGTAGATCTCTGAAAAGCTCAGCTAAATCAAGATGAGAGATTCAGTCTTTTGTTCTTTGTTAATATGACTTGTTGTGTTTGATGATGCTGGATTTACTGAATTTTTGCTTGGTTTGTTTCGTTTATAAGTTTAAGTAGCTAATTTTTGTTATCCTGTACTTGAGGAACTAGTTACCTAGAAGATTCTGATGCTATTGCACAAGTGAGTTTTGATTCACTTATTGAACTTAGTCTTGGTTTTTGTATGACATTTCATCAGATTGAGAGGGCCAGATATGCAGAAAGATTATGTTGTTGAACCGGAAAAATAGTTCGTTGGTGATGTAACAGATCTTCTCATTGGACTATGCAATATTAAGATTCTCACTCTTGAGGTCAGTATAATATGTTTCCTTTTTTTTTTTTAACATTTGCTCAGAAAAGTGAGAAGAGCAACCACGACATAAGACATAATGGAAATTGGTGATCAGTGCTCTTGTTTATTATCGTATTAGTTCAGAGCTTGATTCAGTTAACTTTTAAGGCTGAACCTGAAATAAAGAAAACAAAACCCAAAAAGAATCATATGGTAAGAATTATGAATTGATCTCTTCTTGAAGAATTATGATTGGATCACAGTTTCTGGATAATAATTAGTTTTTAAAAATTAAGACGCTTGTGTAGATATAGAGTATTATACAGATTAAAATCTTGTTTTGTAACTCGGTTTCAGCAGGTCTGATGCCCATGTGGTGGAAATTGAAACGTTAGAAGAACACTCCGAGAAATTTGGGCATTAGTGAACCAGACATTGAAATTATGAAACATCATCTTTCTTTGTTTCAAGCTTTCTCCAGAGTACAATTTCGATTTGTTGTTAAAGTCGAAATACAGTCTGAAGTGTAATCAACTTTCCCAAACAGAGCATCGTTACTATTGCTCCTACCACTGATTCATCTTGAATGTGAAATAAAGAACACTAAAGCCAAAAGAATCATAAGGTTTTTGTTTACAAGACTCTTTTCATTGTGACCTCTAACACTTGGCCATTTCAAACCCGTTCTTAGCATTCTGATAGTCATCGAAAGCCATATCGATCTCCGCCTGAGAATTCATCACAAAAGGACCACTCTGAATCACAGGCTCACCGATCGGTTCCCCTGCAATCAGTAAAAACCTCAACGACCTAAAAGTTGACTTGTTCCACACGCTAACTGAATCCCCTGGTCCAAACACAACAACATGGTGGGCCGGTGTAGCGGAAGAGTTCAAAGAACCGAACACACCCTCGTCGCCTTCTATAATGTAGGCGAAAGTGGTCCATGATTCTGGAACGTTCTGGTGGGTTTGAGACCCTGGCTTGAGGGTAAAGTCAAGGAACATTGTTGGTGTTCTTGTGTAGACTGGAGCTTGGATTCCCATCGAATCTCCGGCTATGACTTTGACCTCAACTCCGTTTGCTTCTGCTCGCGGGATGTCTAAACTCAATAATTCTTTATATTTTGGTTCGATCCTGTCGAAATGAAAGAACAAAACAGAGAGATTCAAAACTGGAGCTCTTCTTTCAGAGATGATAGTAAATAATCTTCTAGTTACATTTTTTCAGCAGAAGGGAGATTGATCCAAAGCTGTAAACCATTGTTGACTTCTTCTTCGGGAAACTCGGAATGAATGATTCCTCTTCCTGCTGTCATCCACTGTCAGATCAAAGACTCAAAAATGAGACTCAGAGAGGATTTGATGTTTCTCTTCTATTCTTTATTTGTTGGGGGTGGTGTGTTTCTTTATAATTACCTGAACATCTCCGGCTTGGATTATACCTCTATGACCTTTGGGATCTTTGTGAATGATGCCTCCCTGTAGCATGTATGTAACACTCTCAAAACCTGCACCACAGTTGACTAAATACATTTCAGAACAGAGAAACTTTGTGGATATGTGTTATGTTTATGTATATATATATTCGTGTACTGTAAGAAGATGTAGGTGATATTGACCTCTGTGAGGATGATCTGGGAATCCAGCTGAGAGCGAAACTGATCAAGAAACAGAGCAAATAATTTGGTAAGCTTTTGATTAGCATATAACATATAAATAAAACAGATTCGAGGCAAGGAAGAAGCTTATTACAGGAAAACTCAACGAGCAACACGAACGGGTCCAATAACTTCTGATCAATCCTGAATTAACCCAAAAAAAAAAAGATAAAATCTATATGAGACGTACGTGAAACCATAGGATGACTTTTCTTGAGAAAAAGAAAAAAGAAGAAAACTAACTCAGTGATGCCGTTTCTAACGAGGGAGCTGTCACCATCCTTGTCAAGCTTAGCCAGAATTTTCTTGATAACAAGTCTTGGTACGCTATTGTTGTCGAAAGAAACAGACATGGCGACGATGATTCTGTTGGAGTTAGTGCACCTTCTCCTTCAACTCTTAAAATGTTTTTTTTTTCTTTCTCTTTTTCTTTTCTTGTTTTAATCCAAGAAAATCCAAGAAAAGCTTTTGTTTTGATTGTTAATTATGGAGGAAGTGAGTTCTTTGTATGTTTGGTTTAGTGGTGTGTGTGTGTGTGTGTAAACATATATATAGTGAGAGGTGAGAGCAGCAATGCAGAGAGAGGATGATCATCGTCGACACTGCAACTGGAAGTTTGTAGGTGAAAGTGAGTGGGTCCTTTCTTTGGACCAACCGTGATTATTGCTCAATAATTTGATTTATCATCCTAAGGTTACATTCTTTTATTTATAATATAGAAATTTTCAAAACGTAATTGCACTTCTTCTTTCTTTCTTTTGTTTCTCACAAAACATTAATTAAGAGTTTTTAAGTTTCATTCTACATTAACTATACGTGTATCTAATTGGTCTCTTGGACATTGAAAAATAATATGGAGTCATCCAGATAATAACCATGTTACCAAAAGAAAAAAAGGTTATTTATTGACTAATAAGAGTATAAGACGTTACGGTAGAGCGAAAAAGAAAGTGATTAGGAATTGCTAAAATGGTTATAGTTGTTGTTGTTGTTTAATCTTAAAAGACACGTTGGAAACAAAATAAGATTAATCGCGTTCACACCACTAAAGATTCCCATGTCACGTGTAAGCGTAGTAAGCATGGCACTGTGGAACACAAAAGCATACATACATTGTGGATGCATTGCATGGTACAATGTATCATTTTTTATGAATATGAGTGTGAATATGAAATTATACGCATGCGTATAATGCGCCTCGATATTCTAATTACCACATAAAAATATTGTCGAAACTAAAGAGTTCCCCAAATAAAAAAATAAAAGAAAACAAAAAACAAAAACAGATTAAGCGTTTTGGCCTTTTTAAAGAGAAAATTAAAAGTATAAGACCATGATTATCAATAGGATCTTACAAAATTCTTAACGTAAGAAAAACTAAGAAAAGGTAAGAAAAAGTTGCTTATCTTTTCTTAATTTTTTTTACCTTAAGAATTTTGTAAGATCCTATTGATAATCATGCTCTAACTACTCTTCCTGATTTTAAAATATCTGAAGTCGACGACGGCCTTGTAAAATTGTTGTTATCCATCCATATGTTTTTTTTGGTCATGTGTTCCTTTGCAAGTCAACTGCTAATTCACTCTAATAAAATTATAAAACAATATATAATGATTTGCGTTATAATGATTTCTTTCATTCACATCTTTTTTTTCCTAGCTAGTTTTACCACTCTAAGCAACCTATGTGTGAAAGTAGGTTTTATTATGCATGTTTTAGATCCATATTGATATGGATTGTAATCCCATAAGGAAGCCAAAAAATTAGACTATATACCAAAAAAAACTTGTAGATCAGAAATCTCATAATCATATCGATATCTATATATGTCTATTTATAAACTCACGATGTCTTAACTCTCGAGTGCCGACAATTGTTTGAACCACTATATTTAAATGTTTCTTCATTGGGTGTTCACACACACACTATATAAACCTCTAAAATATACAAAATATTTAGTATATGTTTTGTCAAACCTAACTTTTTAATTAATTGGAACGAAATAATGATTTTAAAGGCCTTCTGTTAGTTGTCGTGCTACTACGATTCAATTAAAATAAAATGGCTGCTTAACCAGCTAATAAAGACAATTTTAATATTTATTGTATGTATACGACAACACAATATTACTGTACATATATTGAATGTTAATAATTAAGACCTCTCTACTAGTATAAAATCATCAACCACATGTTGTAGTTTCTGTATATAAAAAAATACGGCTGATGATGATTTGATGTCCGCTCCTTAATAGTATGAACGTCCGCATTTTCATTAAGGGATACGAAAACCATAAATTATAATTCCAAGATACATATGTATGCATAGTATATATATAATTGAATTTATGAGGCGAAACATCTTTTGAGTTTCTCCACCAATTGATCGTTTACTCCATCTACTTGTGGTTTATAACAAATGAGGAAAGATCTGATCTACAGGCTGATCAACAATATATTATAGGATCTAATAAAAATATTGGAAGCGCTTTTTGTGTTCATATTGAAACCCAATCCAAATTACTCAAAAGACCAACACTTTTGGATACGATCGAGTGGTTTAAATCGAAAATGACCAATTAATATCCCAACATCTAATATGTATGTACATATATCCCATTCACAGACTCCGCTACTTAACATATTGATATAACTTATTGATTCTTGTTGTGGAAAGGTGAGAACAAAAGAAGATTTCACTTTTACATGTACTGAATCTAGTTTAATAGAAAGTTCCAAAAAGTCATAATCTTCTAGAAGCTTTTTTGTTTTTTTTTATAATGATGATTCCACCATTTCCTTCTGCTGTGGGTACCAGTTTGTCACACAAATCCATTATCTCAACGAATACACACACACACACATACATATAGAAAGTATGATATGTATATTGAGAGGGAAAGATGTGTAGATGCAAAAGGAGAAGATGTGAACATAGCTCTGTATTGATTTGACTTTATTTAACAATCTTTCCTTTTCGGTAAATCCAGATGGCCTCAAAGGTCCACCATTTCCACTTGTTTCTCTTGTTTTGGCCCTAAGTACACTAAACCCATCATTGTTTGGTTTCTCACCAATGTGGTTCGTGATTTACTTACTTTTGTGAGCCGAAAAAAGACAAGTCATTCATTCACACCGTTTGCGTAATGCAGCATCAGAAGAAGGATCCTATGAATTGAACTGGCTTGAGAGAGCAACACGAATTTTGTTTATAGTTTCTTCTCCACTCAGTTAAGATAGAAGATGATGACATAACAATGACTTTTCTATGGCAAGTTAAGTCTCATGGATGTTAGGTTCTTCTCTACTAACTCAAAACATTTTAACATGCCAAAAGAAATAACTCGAACTACAACTCAAGTTTCTCACAACACAAGCATAAACACACAAGGATGAGAGCTTTTTGTTATATGCAGCAAATTACAAACAACAGAAACAAGAGAATCTTAAATTTAAGTTTTAATATATTTTTAGCCATAGACACATCCATATATAGCTTCCATGGTAAATGAGACAAGACTGTATTACTGATTCCACGAAACCACTCAAACCAGTAAGGATATGCTAGACATGCAATCCGTATTTCATCGACTAGGAACTGGGCAAAGTGGATGACAAGCTAAGGTTATCAGAGATAACTTGAATCTTGCACTTGAGTGAAGCTACTGCAGGAACCATCTCAAGTTGGCTTGACACTTCAACTAGATCATTCTCGTTTGATGTATTGTAGTATATTATGAGTTGTTCAAGATTTGGCATTTTCTCCAAGAAATTCTTTACCTGCTCTATCTCTATCTCCTTATTGTCATCATCATTGGTTTCTCCAATTTTTAATATCTTTAGAAGCTTCACCGGACTTGATGATAAGCAAGATAGACTATTCTTCAAACCATGGCACAAGCACACATCCCCACATCTCTCTGTTGCTTTGTGAAGGAGTCCCTAACACATAAAAGAAACATCTCAAACTTTGATGTAAATTTAGTAAACAGAGTCATGTTCAAGGGTTGATGTGCTTACTTGGAAGGTAAGTGTTTCAAGATTTGGACAATTCTTGAGCAGATTTGGCAGTGATTCCCATCCTAGTTCCGGATGACTCTCAATAGTTAGATGAGTCAAATTGTTGAATACCGGTATCGCTTGACAGCAAAAACTAAGTGTCTAAAACAAAAGAAAAGATTAGCACTCACAGCACTCACTTCCAGATACTAGCTAACGAAAACCCTCGAGTAATGTTGGATTTACATACCTCAAGAGTGTCACAAGATAAGTAAAGGGTCTTCACACTGCATATTCCCATAAGAAGATTCATTGCATTGCCAACCATCTCTGTCTCCTCATCAACATCTGATACATATCTCGCATTTGCTTTCTGATCATTAGTCATACGAGTACAGATACTAGCTTCAACCAGCGAATCGAAATTCATTTGTGGATACTTGCGCGCAATATTATCAGAATATTCAAAGTAGACAACATTTGGAGTATCAAATGATACACTCTTTGGATTTCCGCCACAGTATGAACAACATAGAGTTAATCTCTTGAGGATTTTTGAAGACACAGAGCAAGAATCCCAATAATCCCACGAAAGATTAAGCAAGCTTAATTCCTCAAGCAGGGGACAACCAGAAAGCAGCTTTGCAAACCCAATCTCACCCTCTTCAAACACAACCGAATCTAGATTTAGAGTCTTGAGCTTTGGAAGACAAACATTTCTCAGTTTAATTCTGGGACCATCTTTGGGTCCTATCTTCAGCCTAACCAGTGTCTTACTCGCAAAAACCTTTGAAGGCAACCAATAGACTAATGAGGGAGAGACATGTAGAGCAAGATCTGATACACCATGTCTCAAAGCATTTAATATCCAAGGGAAGACGTCTTCATCCTGAATACCATCTCCACATTTCAGAGAGAACTTGTTGATATGATCTTTTCCTCTCAATTTCAATACTCTGTCCACGAAATCTATAAAACTTGTCTGGTCTTGCAACACAGTCTCGGGTTGCAGAGAGGAGAAGGCATTAAAATCAAGATTTGGTACAAAAGCAAAAAGATACCGCCATCTTTTTGAGAGAAGTGATGTCAAAGCAGCTTCTTTAGTAGACAGATTTGACAAGATATGGCAAAGAAGATTGTCTGGTAAAGAATTGATTACATCTTTGGAATTATCATCCATGCTTCTTTCTGAGACAGATCAAGCACTTACAAACCTAAACAACACATCCAGCAAGAAGATTTCAGAAGCTAAAACTCAAGATACAAAAAAAATACCCTGTCCTAAACTCCAAACCAGTTTCAAGTCTAATCCTTTATACAATCGAAATCGCAAGGTTCGGGTAGGACTCACGGAATAGACAAACAAGAACCACACAAAAAAAGAAAAAAAAAAAAACCACAAACAGATATTAGAACCAGATCTTATAGGAACACAAGGTCAGAAGCAGAGATTAGAAAATTTACTTGTGTCGAATGTAAAAGCAGAGCCCATCAAAATCACCCTAAAGATTCAAACAGACGGTGAGGAGATTTAGGATTTTTTATATTCAAAGTCAAAGCAACTTCTCGGACCAAAAGTGATGTAGCAACTTGGTATTAAACAATGTCTAGGAAACATGAACACAAAAGTAAGTTTATCCGTCATTCAATTATTGATGTAAGCCAAGTCGTATGATTCTTGTTAAGAACCAGTAGAAAAATCTGAGGATATCTGCGTTCACATTATAAAAAAGAACTTCTACAAGCCACGTGCAAGCGTGCTTAAAGTTGGAACAACATTTTAAAGTTTTTAACACCAGAATAAGAGGAAACAAAGAGGGACACATAAAGTTTTAGAGTACATTCTCAGTTTCAAAAAGGACAAAAGCCAGAGTGCAAAAGTAGAAAACGACAGAAACAGAGGAAATCTTTAAAAGCTTCGAGTTTAGATCAAAGCCTAGTGAAACCAGTAATCTTCTTCTTCTGGAGAAGAAGCATACATAAGCATGGAATCTTTTATCTCGCGAGGAGGAGTCTCAACCCAGCGGTGTTCTTCTTCTTCTTCGGGAGGAAGAGTAGACCATTTCGTTGTTAAGAAAGAAGGAACAGTGCATGACAAACTAAGATTCTCAGAGACTACCTGGATCTTGCACTTTGGTGAAGCTACTTTAGAAGTCATCTGAAGCTTCTTGGATAAGTCTAATACAGCAGGTTCATATGATGTATCGTAGTATACTAGCAACTGTTCAAGACGCGGCATTTTCTCCAAGAAATACTTAATCTGTCGCACTTCCGACCCGTCTTCTTCATCATTGTCATCAAACAGAAAAATCTTTAGCACCTTCACCGGAGAAGATGAAAGGCAAGAAGGATGCTTCGGACGTTTACAACAGCACACGTTCCCACACCCCTTGTTATACTTGTGGAGAAGACGCTGAAGAAGCATAAAGGAAAGGATTCATAGTTAAGTTGTATTTGTTTCCATGTGACTGATAAACAAAGATATGCTTTCATGGGTTTTGTTTTATACCTTTAAAACAAGGGTTTCCAGTTTTGGACAATTATTGAGTAGACTTGGCAGTGAATCCCATCCTATTTCCGACTGACTCTCAATCGTTAACTGGTTCAGGTTGTTGAAAACCGGGATTGGCTCACAGCAGAAAGTAAGTACCTGTTACAAAAGCGAATCAACTATCTTCATCACTCACTTGTGATCATCAACTCAAGCCATTAACCAATGCGATTGAAATACTAACCTCAATAGTTTTGGCAGATAAGTAAAGGATCTGAACAGAGCATATTCCCTTAAAAAATTCAGCTGCATTACCGGCCACCTGTTTTTCCTCATAATCTTCAGGGAAATAGTCGTCTTCTGAAAAGTTTACATCTGCACTCTGATCTTCTGTCATCCGAAGATCGATATGAGCTTCAACAAGCGAGCTTAAGTTCACTTTTGGATACTTCCCTGCAATAGCGTCAGAATACTCTAGGTAAACAAGATTTGGAGTATCAAGGGTCACGCTCTTTGGATTCTCATCAGTCTCGTCCTCAGAGAAAATAGTCAGCCTCTTGAGGGTTTTGAGAGACACAGTGAAAAACTTCCAATATTCCCACCCGAGATTATTTAGAACTAATTCCTCGAGCACGGGACAGCCAGAAAGAAGCTTTACAAACCCAAAACCACGCTCTTCAACCTCAACAGAATCAATACAGAGAGTCTTAAGCTTTGGAAGGAAAACATCTTTCCTATCAATGGTGAGTCTAAGATCCTGTCCCGGTCCTAATTTCAGCCTAACCAGTGTCTTGCTCATAAAGATCTCCCAAGGCAAGGAATACTCCACGAGGCTTAGATCAAGTTCTGATACACCGCGTCCTAACACATTGTATATCCAACCAGTGACACGAGCTAGATCAACATCATAATTACTACAGTCTAGAGAGAATCTGTCTACGTTACCATTCCCTTGCAAAGCCAACACTCTGTCCACAAATTCCATAAAACTTCTACTAATTTCAGCATCGCTTTTTCCTTCATGATCCTCACAGACGGAGTCGTCAAAATCAAGATTTGTTACAAAACCAAACAGATAACGCCATCTTTTCGAGAGAACAGATGTGGAAGCTGCTTCTTTTGTGGGAAGGAATGACAAGATGTGGGAAATTAGAGGATTTGGTAGACTGCTGATAATATCTCTCGCGACAAAATCCATCTTTTTTTCTAACAAAAGAGCAACGCTTTCAACCTAAACAATAAGAAAAAGACAGGGTTTAAGAACGGGATATCCAAATACGACATTCTCAAACTACAAAACAGTTCCAAGGTCTTGTCTTTTTAAAGGCAGACACTGAGTGAGAGCAGGAATCAGAGGAAGAAATGAGAAAACTTACTTGGAGCCATAAAAATCGCCAGACTCGGAGGATATGCGAACAAAGCTGAAAATGAAAATTAGGGCTTTTTGTCAATCTTTGCCGTCAGTGAGAGATACTGGACGACAGGCAATGTGGCGGGATGGGTGAATTCCAATGCTGGGATTGTTAAACGACGCCGTTTAGTGAACCAAGTATACCAAAAATGCTATCTAATATTGGTTGCTTCTAAAGTAAATTATACAAGTCAATCCTGAATTTACTCCTAATTTTATGCTATTATGATATTATCATCCCTTATGAGTACGCATAGCACATCGTTGCGTGGAGCAACTTTAACATTGTAACTGTTAAGCCATGGGAAAATATGTAATCACAATATGAACATAAAAGTAGTATGCAAACTCTAGAAGCTGAAACAGTAAGACAGAGCATAAATACCAAAAGTGTTTCAATAACAATAAACAAAAGATGCTTGCTTAGAGTTTTAGCAAAGTTTACAAAATCTTTCTTCTAGGCAAGACAAATCCGATGGTTTACGCATATCACCAACATGAATAACCAGAAAATGAACATCGACAATCTGAAATAGTTGAGATGACTGAAGCTAACTACAAATGCTTTGATAAACTTCTCTGAGATGAAACATGTTGATCTTCAAACAGGGAAGGTGCTTTTGAAGAAGACGAGTCCACTTGTCGATGAGGAAGAGTGCACAGTAGATGAGTAACTGACGTTATCAGAGATTACTTGGATCTTGCATTTGGTCGAGGCTACCTTTTTAACCATTTGAAGTTCTGTTGATACTATTTTCAGATCATCATCATATGGTGTGTCATAGTATAATATCACTTGTTCAAGATTTGGCATTGACTCCAAAAAGTGCTTGATAAGATCCGTCTGCCTCTCCATGTCATCTTTGTAGTTAGTGATTTGTCCAAACTTCAGTACCTTAAGTGTCTTCACTGGACTAGATGATAGCCAAACGGGAGTGCCATACCAAGGTTTGCACTGACAAGTGTCACCTTGCTCGCTAAAACATTCGTTTGTGTCATTGTAGCAGTAATCCTTGTCAAAACATTGAATTGTATCTCCGTAATGGAGTCCCTGAAGTATAACAAAGGAAAATGTATTTTCAGAATTTAAGTGTGTTTGTAAAGAAATGTGTCAGCTGATGCAAGAAAAGGATATGTGATGGTACTTCGAAGACGAGGGTTTCTAGATTTGGAGAATTCTCGAGCAGATGCGGCAATGATTCCCAGTACACTTCTTGGTCAGTCTCAATTGTTAAATGAATCAGGTTGTTGAAGACTGGTATTGCTTTTTTACAGCAAAAAGTAAGGACCTGAAAGAAAGAAAGAAGGAAAGAAAGAAAAATCAGTTTCCATTTGCAATCATTAACTAGAAAATATCTAATGAAACTAAAACTGGTTCGAAAATAGGCCTCAGTCACAGGTTTAAATCTTAACATTTACCAAACTGAAACAAGGGAATTTGGGTTCTAACTAGTTTGTCTTCTTTCACTTTCAGTCAGAGCAATTAAAATATGAAGATATAGATGGGATTCATATGCAAACCTCAAGAGCCTCAGATGATAAGTAAAGGATTTTAACATTGCATATTCCCATGAAAAAACCGGCTGCATTTCCACCCTTGCATCTTTTATAACCACGATGTCGATTTACTAAATCTCTTGCGTCAAAGACCTGATCAGGTGTCATTCGAATGCCTACGCTAGCTTCAACAAGCGAATCAAAATTCGCTTTTGGATACTTGGCCGCAACAGTATCAGTAAATTCTAAATAGGCAAGATTTGGGGTATCAAACAATACACTCTTTGGATTCTCATCAATGTTCTGACAATCAATTGTTACTCTCTTGAGGGATGGGTTGGACACAGAGCAATATTCCCAATAATCCCACATCATTTTAATCATAACTAACTCCTCAAGGGCGTGACAACCAGAAATCAGCTTGGCAAATGGAGGACCACCCTCATCACCGAACGAAACATCATTAAAATGCAAAGTCTTAAGCTTTGGGAGAGAAACCTCACCAACATCAATGGTGAACTCATCTGTACCTGCTACTTTCAGTGAAACCAATGTCTTGGTCATCAAGACCTTTGGAGGCAGCGGATACTCATATTCTGAAGCGATGAATAGATCAAGCTCTTGGACACCACGCTCCAACACATGGAGTACCCAACCATTGACACGAGATGGATCAGAACCAATTTTACACTTGAGAGAGAACTTTTTTAAAGGAGCAGTCCCTTGCAAAGCCAATATTCTATCCACAAAAAGCTTGAAACTTTTACGCATCTCTAGCCTTTTTCGTCTACCCATTTTAGGACGGTCATAGATGGAGTTATCAAGATCAAGATTAGGTACAAAAGCCAACAGATACCTCCACCTTTTCGCGAGAACGGCTGTGGAAGCAGCATCTGTTGTGGGAAGGAAGGACAGGACATGACAAAGAAGAGCATCTGGTAAGCTACTGATCAAATCTTTGGAACCAATGTCCATCTTTTTCGAATTCATCATATCACCTGGACGATGATTTGAGCTTTAAGTCACTACTTCAAAAAACCCAATCAGAGGTTATTTAGAAGCTAACACACAACAAAATTTGAGAAAACAAAGGCACAGGTGACAGGAGGAACCCACAAAAGCAAATACAAAATCACAAGAAGAAATTGGAAACTTACTCGAAAAATATAAGCCAGCAGCAAGGATTCAGAATCAAATGTTGAGTGGTAGAGGTAACACTGGACGAACAGATTAGGGTTTACGCTTTTTGGAACCGTCGCCGAGAGTGAGTAGTACTGTGGTGGTGTGGCGGGACGGGTGAGTCCCCCGATGCTGATTAGTGATTAGTTTTTTTTTTGTTTTCTGTTTTTGGCCAAATCAGTGAATCACTAATTTTTTTTTTGTGTTTTTTTTAATTCATTGATCTTTTATCTAAGGCGCTTACAAAGTATGGGCCTGAGTTTATGTCTTTGTCTTAATTAATGGGCTATGATTAGTGTCTCTCGTCTTAGAACTTTTTAATCAAATAGATTATGGGTAATATAAGTGTCATGTCAACTCTAGAAGATTTTGTAAGATATTTTAAATCCCATTTAGATTAAACAATAATATTCTTTAAAATATACTATTTGACAACTGTTGACGCATCTTATTGTTAATTATTATTATGAGTATGTTTGATTTTTCTTTGGGTAAAGAATGCTTTGTTTTCATTTGGAAGCACTCGAAATGATTCCATTATATATTTTATGAACATATGCTGAATAAGCTTTAGTCATTATCTATCAACATGTGTGATATGATTATAGTTCTCCTAGAAGAAAACGACTTGTGATTCCTTATGGCAAGGCAGGTCTTTTGTTTTTGTTTTGTTCATGCAAAACTAGAAAATAATTAGCAATACAGAGAAAAAAACTGAAACAAGCAAAACACGAAAGTTATCATTGTCGGCCAAAATTAAAACATGTATTTAAAACTCTAAAACGAAAGAAGGACGAACGCCTGTACTAGTAGTCTTCCTTAGAGTATATATCTTTTACCAAGTCTATATAAAGAGCTTGCAGACACATCCATATATGGTTTTGGTATAACCACAAAAGTCAGAAACTATAATGTTCTCCTAAAGAAGAGGAACTCAATTAGTCAATACCCAAGTGGCAACTGTAGATGATACGCTCAGAGGTTACCAGGGATAAGGTGGATCTTGCACTTTGGTGAAGCTAACCTACTAAGCATCTGAAGTTGCGATGACACTTTCACATCATAGTATAATACCAGCTGTTGAAGATTTGGCATTGTTTCCAAAAATTGCTTGACCTTCTCGATTTTCTTCTCTATTTTTTCATCATCACTGATGAATATCTTTAGCACTCTCACCGAACTTGATGATATAGCAATGTCCTCCTCTTCTTCCTCCGTGTCTCTGTGAAGGAGTTCCTGAAACATAAAAAGGAAAGGATTCAACAGTAAGTTGCATTAGTCACTGTGTTTGTTTACACGATGCTTTAAAGTGTTTTGGGTCATACTTTGAAGACGAGAGTTTTGAGCTTTGGAGAACTCTTGAGCAGCTTTGGCAATGGTTTCCAACCAACTTTTGGGTTACTCTCGATAGTTAAATGAGTCAGGTTGTTGAATACTGGTATTGGTTTGCAACAATAAGTGAGTACCTGAAACCAAAACCATCTCATTATCAGCTCAAGTTATCATCACTCCGTTGCAATCATTGGGTCAAATCCTTATATAGAATGAGAAAGATTAGAAGAGAGATGAGAACTGAATAAAACACACCTCGAGAGAGTCGGAAGATAGGTAGAGGACTCGAACATTGCAGATACCAACTATAAAAGCTGCTGCATTGCCGACCATATAGTTTTCCTCATTGTCTCCGAATGTCACCTCTTCTATCTGATCATCTGTCATCCAAATATCAATTTTGGCTTCAACAAGCGAATCAAAATTCACTTTCGGATACGTGTTGGCTATGGCTTCAGCATATTCCAAGTAGACCAGCTGTGGTGTGTTGAAAGACATACTATTTGGATTTTCACTATGGACACAAGAAAACTTCATGTTCTCGCAATAAAACGTCAGCCTCTTGAGAGTGGAGACAGAAACAGAGCAAGATTCCCAAACACACGCCCACAATTTATCGAGAACAAGTTCTTCAAGCACGTGACAGCCAGAAAGAAGCTTGTTAAAGCCAATATCATTCTCAGCAAACGTAACTGAGTGGAGAAAGAGAGTCTTAAGCTTTGGAAGATGAACATCTTTCACATCAATGGAAGGGCCATCTCTGATTTGAAGAGTCAGCTTAACAAGTGTCTCGCTCAAGAAGATCCTTTGAGGAAGCGGAGATTTCCATTCCTTCAAATCCACGACTAGATGAAGATCCGATAAACGACGTAGCAAGACCTTGTGAATCCAAGGATTGACATTATCTGGATCAACAGGATCATGACCATCGACCATCTTTAGAGAGAATTTGTCAAGAGGAGAAGTGCCTTGTAAATCCAAGATCGTATCCACGAAATCCGGAAAGCTTGTAGAAAGCTTCAACCGCTTGTTGTTAACCATATACACGAAACCAATCAAACCAGCCTCACGTAGAGGATTCTTAACCCTTTTATCCGGATGCAGAAAGACCGAGTCATCAAATTCAAGCTTTGGAACAAACGCAAGTAGGTAACGCCATCTTCTCGAGAGTATTGAGGTTGAAGCAGCTTCTTTCGTCGTGAGGAACGACAGAACATGGCAGAGAAGTGAGTCCGGCAAATCGCTGATCAAATCTTTGGAAACAGAATCCATGATCGCACCGTGAAAAATCGATACTCAGAGCCTGACCAAAACAAGAAAAAGGATTTCAATGTCGCAACTCTCTAATCGTAAGGTTCCGCATCACACTATGACTAATCTACAGAGATCAGAGAAGAAGAAGAATGATTATATGCAAAACTTACTTTATCGGCTCAGAGCGATTCAGAGATACGAACAGCCGAATTCAGAAACTACTATCTTGCGGGAGAATTGAAGATCTTATAGGGTTTTGCAATTGCAGACGAAGCATTGTTTTCTCAATTTTGAATCCTTGATTTTAAGGCGAATGAATTTACTCCGTCAGCTTTTATATAATGTTTGGGCAATTTCTCAGTACCCAATTTGTTATCAAGTGATTAGTGAACAATGTCCGCGTTACGTAATTGTATCAATCCAAGTACCCTAATCTAAAGTTATGTAGCTCGTCAAATTTGTACAAAATTGATCAAGTAAATCATGTCGAAACTAAAGTGATAGTGATACATGCCAACATCCAAATATGAAATACCACGATTACAAATAAATGTCAACAAGAATATACTTTCGACAATAGTAAGATTTGTCCACCAGCTTCATTCATATACAGACAACTACTTTCAAACAGTTTCCTTCATGACTTGGATCTCGCATTTGGAAGCTTCGGAAAGAAGCAAAATGCCTCTCATGAGGCGACTTTTTTCTCCCTCATCCACTGCTTTATGATGAACCCTTACCATTTGAAGACGCGATAATTTCCCCATAAAATGCATTATTTGTTTAACTTCTTGACAACTTCCATTATACCTAGTGATCTCTAAGACCTTTACTGCAGATGATGACATAGAAGCCGACACATCGTCCCAGGAAAAGCAGAGACGGCTCATTGGACTCAAATTATCCCATCCTTCAGCAACATAGTGCACTAGACCCTGCAAAAACGTTGGAGAAAAGATTTCATTGTAGATTCAGAGTTTGTATACATATAACTTCTTCTGCATAGTACCTTGATGGTGAGAGTTTCTAGATTAGGAGAGTTGTTGAGCAGAGACGGAAGCTTTTTCCAGAAAATGAATGGTGAACCATGAGGTTTATCGCTTCCCAGAGATAATGAAATCAAATTATTGAACACCGGTAACCTTTCACCGCGGTAATAGATTGCCTGAAACACATGACCAAAATCAACTCTTTTGTATCATTTACTACCCCACAAACAAACAAAAGAAAAAGAGCGACACATCTCAAAAGAAGACTGACCTCTAAAGCATCCGGAGATAAGCAGAGGATCTTGACATTTCTGATCCCGTTGAACAAGGTTGTGACATCACCAGAAACAAAACCAATATGATTTGGCTTGCGCATGATTTGAAAAGCTGTCATATGAAGATCAATCCTAGCTTCAACAAGGCTGTCCAATTTCAGATTTTCATACTTATCCGCAACCATATCAGAATACTCCAAGTAAACAAGACTGGGGGAATCAAATGAAACACAAGGTTTAGGAGCAGAGCAATCATCATCACATCTATATGTAAGACTCTTGAGCGTTCCAGTAGAAGAAGCAGACCCATTCCAAAACTTCCACTTGGTCGATTCATGAATCCGCAGGTTTTGAAGCGAAGGAAAAGCTGAGAGAATCTGCTTAAACCTAACCTTATCCTCAACACGAAACTCAACTAAATCAAGAACAAGGGAATTAAGCGTCGGAGAAATAACATCTGAAGGAAACTGAGAAAGACGGATCATTGTTCCGATTCGAAGGTTTACCAAAGTCTTGCTCCTAAAGACTTGGAACGGCAAATGAAAGATTCCACAATCAACGCGTAGAGAAAGATCCAAGACACCAAGATCCCTTACAATTGTTAATATCCACTTGAGTATGCGATCTGGTTCAACACCTCCTTGACGACACTTGAGAGAGACTCTCTGAACGGGAGATGAAGTCTCGACTCGTAGAGACAGTAACCTATCCACGAAAGCCTTGAAGAAGACATTTTTTCGTCGACCCTTTTGGGGATTCAGCAACACGGAATCGTCGAGATCGAGAATAGGTATCGATAGAAGCAGATTCGACCAGCGCTTAGAGAGAATCGATGTTAAAGCAGCCTCTTTTGTCGAAAGGGAAGATAAGATTCGGCAGAGAAGATCATCTGGTAAGTTGCTAATCGTATCTCCACAACTTGGTTTCGCTTTTTTGTAAGCTTCCATGAGGTTAGGGTTTTCGAAACCTGGGGAAATTGACGATTTGGATACGATCGATCCCTCACAGAATTCGCAGGTCTTCGGGTATGAGGTAGAGAAAGAGCGAGAGAGAGTGAGAGGAGACGATGAACAATTCAGTATTTGTCGGTTTAGACCGGTTAACCCGGTTAACATAATAAACAATATAAATGGGTCTTATTTCTTAAACCCGTCTCTTTGGGCCTAAAAGGATGATCTTTAACCAAATCCAGAGAGTTGACCCAACAGACAAACAAAAAAATTGCGTTTTGATACTAAAATAAATCTTGAAAAAAAATGAAACTGGCCAGTGGCCAAAAAAGGGTCAAGGCCTTTTTAACAACAACAAAAAATAAGGAAGAAATTGTATACAGATTATTTATTTTTATTTTAAAGGAAGGAAACCAAAGAGAAGAAACAACACACAAGAAAAGAAAAAGAAAGAAAAAAAGCGAAATGTCCAAAAAAAGGAAGTGATAGAAAAAAGTGACGTAGCAAATGACGCTGTAATAAAAGAAACAAAAACCAAAGAGATTTGTTTAGGTGTAACTTTTTTGAAGAAAGTTTGTGGTAACCAGAAATTTGTCATTTTGCGTAAAAGAAAGCAAAGTACACTACGAACTTTTCTTGGGAAAAGCTTCAAATCTTCTCGTCCACTGCTTTTTCTTTTCCATTCATCATGTGGTGCAACTTACTGCTTATAATCTTTTTTTACAATGTAAATTTCTAGCTGGAAAAATAATAAATCCAACTTGCTAGCTACAACTTAATTTTTACGTTGTCAAAATAACTCGTGGGCCGGAATTTAGACGTTTTATATTTTGAGTGTGATGATCTGACCTTATTGTAAATAAAGTGATCTAATTGACAATACGTGCACTGTGCACATGCTAAGGTGTGTTTACACTTGAATAATAGACAGGTTTTTGTCCTACGTTTCTAAGATCTATTCATTCTCTCATCTTCAGAGTCGAGATTCTTGAATGCGTCAACCTTTTTTTCAACTGACAAAAGCTAATAATGTGTTTATAAAGACAAATATAATATTATGCGCGAGTTTTTTTTTTACATGATATGCTATTCTAAAGAGACAGAGAGGAATTTGGATACAAGTAGTAAGGACAAGAAGAGTTAAGACAAAAAAACAATGTTAAAAGAAGAAGAAAAAAAACACATCGAAAGCCTAAAAATGAGGGAGACGTGAGCCAAGACGAAATATAATATACACGACGACACATTTAATCCTAATTACGTACTTAATTCTTTCCATGCAATATATAGGACTAATGGACTATACGTACTGAGGAATTAATGTCTGTTCACGTGAGGTGATGAGCCTCTAGTTTTTGTTAGTATATATATAGATTGTGTCCTTTTTAAGATCTCACAGTTTTAAATAATATACAAAGTTGTAGTAATGAAACTGGCCAATTGAGTAAAATAATGAGATTATACGATATACTGTACATGGAATATATATATATATATATATATATAACCAAACGCTAATTTGAAAACACATGAAGTGGTGGGTGGGTCGGTGATCTCATTTCTTTTTCTTTTTTCTTTGGGACAAATTTAGTCAGAAGTGGGATGATGATGATCTCATTTCTATGTTTTGTTGTTATTCAACAAAATCTAGAATTTGATCACTGCTTAAACAAGTTTTGGAAAATTGTCACAGGGTGGCAACGTACGTATCTAATCTAGAATCAAACGTTTTTAGTTACCAGTCACCAACGAAGTCCACTCGACTCGAGAGACATCATCATCATAAAGAGAAAAGCAGCCAGCCACACCAATGAAAAAAGCAATTTAATTTGTAAAACATAGAAACTGGTCCAACTAAACTTCCGTGGGTGGTCGCTGTCACGCACTGTCACCGTGTCACGTGTTATATTATCAGGCTCAAACATATATGTATATAATGCGAGTATGTGACGGAGGTCCAATCATTAACATATAATTATAATCCCATCACACTAGTGTTTCCTTTTTTCGTTTGTTGTATTGAGAATTGTTGCTTTCCTACTTGATATATACATGTAAATGCGAATTAAGATGCCAACAACAACATATTGCCAATCACTTTTTGTATATATACAATTAATTATAAACATCTCGCCAATCCCCTAATTTAATATAATAACGGTCTGTATATAAAAAAAACCACACCACTCTTCTTTATACGTTGAAGCCTAAATCACCCACATTTTCAATAATCTTCCCCAAAATTTGTCTTTTAAATCATATCAACTCTTAGATGAGGTAGACTAGTTTCGATGATTTATGAATTACCTAGTTCGAGCAAAGGTTATAAAATGTTCAAGTTAAATTAATAAAATTCTGTATTGTAAATATTTGCAAGTCAATACCAAATAAGGTACTTTATTAATGACCAATGCAAATCATTTATTCATGATTTCTTTGTATTAGTTTAGGTAATATAATTATTTCTTTTCTCATGTGTTTTATATGTAACATATTCTATTTGACGATTATACTCACTGGCGAAAAAAGATACTCATCGAGACATATGAGTCGTAAAGAGTTTGCATCTCATCACTTCTTTGTTGAATTTAAAAAGTCTTGTAATTTTGTTTTGGTTTGTTTTGCGTAAATAGTATATCTGTAATTCTGTATATGGACAACCACGCTTCTTAATGGAAACAAAAGAAGATAATCGTACCACTAGTAATTCAGAAAATTTTAGAAAAATAATCACACATTCACGCTTCTTCTAAAATACTAATTAATATATCAGTTTTTTTTTAAAATAGTTTCTTAATAAAATAAAAGCTGATTACCAATACAGTATTTAGGCATGTACTATTTGTCTTCACTTCTTGTATATATAGATGTCTAGTAGAAGAGTGTTTTTTTTTTTTTTTTTTTTTTTTGTCGTCAGTCTAGTAGAAGAGTGTCAGAGTGATATATGTGAGAGTCAAAAAATTGAAAATTTCCTTGGACATGTGTGGAAGTGAAACCTCCTACTTTTCATTAGTAAAGCGATTTAAAAAAATGAAAAAATAAACACTGCAGAAAAAATAGAGAAATAATAATTCAGTTAAGAGAATCCAAACAAAATAATTATATTCCCCCTGAAGATAATTTTACTACTTGTGCAGTATCCAACAAATTATAAAGAAAATGCTGAGCTAAAACCATATATGGGAAAAAGGCAGAGAAGTTGAGTTCTTCTTCTTCTTCTTCTTCTTCCATTTTCTTTCCGTATTTTACATTTTCATAGACTATAAACCATTTTCTTCTTCTTCTTCACCTCCTCTCTCGGATAGATAATTATCGTTTCCCGCTCTTCCATCTTCATTAATCAGATTCATTCTTGTTTAAATCCCCAGACGACAAACAAAAACAGGGGCAAGTGAGTACACAAATATTTCCTGAAATTTATATTTTTGGTTTTTATTTGGTTGGTATTAAAGGAGAGGAGAAAACATAAAAAAAAGAAAGAATGATAGAACACTTTTGGACGTCGTTCTGCGGGAATCACCACTCATCATCCTCAAACTGCACTCTTCGACTTCTGCAGATATGTTTCGGTATCATACTCTCTGCCCTAACTCTCTTTATTTCCTTGTTTCTCAAGGAATCCCCCAAAAGGATTCATCGATTCTCCTGTCTACGCATCGTGTCTTCTGTTTTCAACGGAATCATCGGATCTCTGGATTTCATTTTTGGGATTTGGGTTTTACGACAGAACCACAGTCAGCCCTTCATCCTCTGGCTGGTCGTTCTGATCCAAGGGTTTACATGGTTGTTGATTAGCTTAGTCGTTTGCGTTAGAGGAACAATCATTCGAAAGTCTTCATTGAGGCTGTTATCTATCTTCTCCTTCTTTTATGCTCTGGTCTCATGTTGTTTGGCTGTGAAGTACAATGCTGTTTCTGGAGAGGTATTGTCAATTAGGACGATGCTTGATGTTTTATTACTCCCTGGTTCAGTTTTGTTACTCTTGAGTGCTTACAAAGGCTATAGATTTGAAGAATCTGCTGAGGGCAGTTTGTATGAGCCTCTTAATGCTGCTGATTCAAATGCTTACGACGAAAAAGCAGATTTTGATAACCGGGTCAGCCAGTTTGCTAAAGCTGGGTTGTTCGGTAAGTTATCATTCTGGTGGTTGAATTCTCTGATAAAGAGAGGGAATGTGAAAGACTTGGAGGAAGAAGATATACCCGAGCTTCGAGAGGACGAGCGTGCTGAGACGTGTTATTCCTTGTTTCAGGAGAACCTCAATGACCAGAAGAGAAGATTAGGGGATTCTTGTCGGCCTTCCATCTTGAAAGTCACTCTTCTTTGTGTCCGGAGAGAGCTTTTAATCTCTGGTTGCTTTGCTTTTACGAAGATTGTTGCTGTGTCAGCTGGTCCGTTGCTTCTGAATGCTTTCATTTTGGTTGCTGAAGGCAATGAGAGCTTTAGATATGAAGGGTTTGTGTTGGCTGTGTTGCTGTTCTTCTCCAAGATGATAGAGTCTTTGTCACAGAGACAATGGTACTTTAGATGTAGAATTATCGGTTTACGCGTAAGGTCTTTACTAACTGCAGCTATAAACAAGAAACAGCTGAGATTGAATAACTCTTCAAGGCTGATCCATTCGGGCAGCGAGATTATGAACTACGCGACTGTTGATGCTTACAGAATTGGGGAGTTTCCTTATTGGTTCCACCAGCTTTGGACAACAAGCTTTCAGCTACTAATCGCCCTTGGGATTCTCTTTCATTCTGTGGGAGTTGCTACGTTTTCAGCTCTAGCTGTGATAATACTTACTGTTCTATGCAATGCTCCTATCGCAAAACTTCAAAACAAGTTCCAAAGCGAACTCATGACCTCTCAGGACGAGCGGCTCAAGGCCTGCAATGAGTCTCTTGTCAACATGAAGGTCTTGAAGCTCTATGCGTGGGAATCACATTTCAAGAAGGTTATCGAGAAGCTAAGGAACACAGAGTTAAAATCTTTGAAGGCGGTTCAGATGAGAAAGGCTTACAATGCGGTTCTGTTCTGGTCATCACCAGTCTTTGTCTCTGCTGCAACTTTTGCAACTTGTTATTTCCTTAACATTCCACTGAGAGCAAGTAACGTTTTCACTTTTGTGGCAACGTTGCGTCTGGTCCAAGATCCGGTAAGAATGATCCCTGATGTTATTGGAGTGACTATTCAGGCTAAAGTTGCCTTCAGTCGCATTGCAACATTTCTAGAAGCTCCTGAGCTTCAAGGTGGGGAGAGGCGGAGAAAGCAGAGATCAGAAGGCGAGCAGAACGCTATTGTTATTAGATCTGCGAGCTTTTCGTGGGAGGAGAAAGGTTCAACAAAACCAAACTTGAGAAATGTGAGTCTTGAGGTTAAGTTTGGGGAGAAAGTGGCTGTTTGTGGCGAAGTTGGCTCAGGCAAGTCAACTCTTTTAGCTGCCATTCTTGGTGAAACTCCATGTGTCTCAGGAACGGTAAGTCCCTTTAGCTTTAGATTTTTAACAACTTTATATATTCGCAAAGTTGTGTTTCTGATCTTCTTTTGAATCATCCAACAGATTGATTTTTATGGAACGATCGCCTATGTTTCTCAAACAGCATGGATCCAAACAGGGACAATAAGAGACAACATCCTCTTTGGAGGAATGATGGATGAACAACGTTACCGTGAGACAATTCAAAAGTCTAGCCTAGATAAAGATCTTGAGCTCTTGCCTGATGGAGACCAGACAGAGATTGGTGAAAGAGGTGTAAATCTAAGTGGAGGACAGAAACAGAGGATTCAACTCGCTCGTGCGCTATACCAAGATGCAGATATTTATCTCCTTGATGATCCATTCAGTGCCGTTGATGCACATACTGCTTCGAGTTTGTTCCAAGTAAGTCCTTGCTGAAAGATAAACTTTACATAGTCCATTTTTCTTGGAAATGTTGAAGCTAATGAGCATGATTCCAGGAATACGTTATGGACGCTCTTGCGGGAAAAGCTGTGTTGTTGGTGACGCATCAAGTGGATTTCTTACCTGCTTTTGATTCTGTCTTGGTAATTTGATCTTGAAATCATAATTGACCTTCTTGTTTTTGACGTTTCTTAAGCAGTTTCTTTTGTCTTGGTTGCTTATTGTACTTCTTTCTGTAGTTGATGTCGGATGGAGAAATCATTGAAGCTGATACATACCAAGAACTCTTAGCCAGAAGCAGAGACTTTCAAGATCTTGTGAACGCTCACAGAGAAACCGCTGGTTCCGAAAGAGTGTTTGCGGTAGACAACCCCAGCAGACCGGTGAAGGAAATCAGTAAGGTCCTTTCTTCTCAATCCAAGGTCTTGAAACCGAGTCGTTTGATCAAACAGGAAGAACGAGAGAAGGGAGACACGGGGTTAAGACCGTACATACAATACATGAATCAGAACAAAGGTTACATATTCTTCTTCATTGCGAGCTTAGCTCAGGTCACATTTGCAATTGGACAGATTCTTCAGAACTCATGGATGGCTGCAAACGTAGATAACCCCCAAGTCAGCACTTTGAAGTTGATCTTGGTCTACTTGTTGATTGGGTTGTGCTCAGTTCTCTGCTTGATGGTTAGATCTGTCTGTGTCGTGATTATGTGCATGAAGTCATCAGCTTCTTTGTTTTCTCAGCTCCTTAACTCTCTTTTTAGAGCTCCTATGTCATTTTACGACTCTACTCCTCTTGGAAGGATTCTTAGCAGGGTAAATGCTAATGAACTTGATGAATGTTTATGTTTATTGTTTGGTATTTCAACTTCTTTAACTGTAATTTATTTGGATTTGCAGGTCTCATCTGACTTGAGCATTGTAGATCTTGACGTTCCTTTCGGCCTGATCTTTGTGGTTGCGTCAACAGTAAACACAGGTTGTAGTCTTGGAGTGTTAGCTATTGTTACTTGGCAAGTCTTGTTCGTATCTGTTCCCATGGTTTATCTAGCATTTCGTTTACAGGTCAGATTCTTTTTCTTGAATCCCTCTTAACAGTTCTTGTGTTTTCCTGGAAAAGAAGTAACAAGAGTTTTTGTTTACTTTTGTTTTGATCGGTTTACAGAAGTACTATTTCCAAACAGCGAAAGAGTTGATGCGGATCAATGGCACGACAAGATCTTACGTGGCTAATCATTTAGCAGAATCAGTAGCAGGAGCAATAACAATAAGGGCATTTGATGAAGAAGAGAGGTTTTTCAAGAAAAGTCTCACCCTGATTGATACAAACGCCAGTCCTTTCTTTCACAGCTTTGCAGCTAATGAATGGCTGATCCAGCGGCTTGAAACCGTCAGCGCCATTGTTCTTGCCTCCACTGCTTTCTGCATGGTTTTGCTCCCTACAGGAACATTTAGCTCTGGTAGGTCATCATCATCAATACTCGACGTTCCTTGAGATGTGAATCAATGTTTTGCTTATTAATGGTGTTTGTTTCTTGTGTCAGGGTTCATCGGTATGGCGCTATCTTACGGTTTATCTTTGAACATGGGACTTGTTTACTCTGTACAGAACCAATGCTACTTAGCAAACTGGATCATTTCGGTTGAGAGGCTTAAGCAGTACACAGAATTAACACCTGAGGCTCCTGAAGTAATAGAAGAGACTCGACCACCGGTTAATTGGCCGGTCACAGGCCGAGTCGAAATCTCTGATTTGCAGGCAAGTCTGATTAACACACACTTTCACTCCTTGATCCAGAAAATGAGAATTTCTTGATCTCATAATGTTCATATATACAGATAAGATACAGACGAGAAGCCCCATTGGTTTTAAAAGGAATCAGCTGTACATTTGAAGGAGGTCACAAGATTGGAATTGTTGGCCGGACTGGTAGTGGAAAGACAACTCTTATTAGTGCTTTGTTCAGACTTGTTGAGCCCGTTGGAGGAAAGATCGTTGTAGATGGTGTTGACATATCTAGAATCGGAGTTCATGATCTAAGATCAAGATTTGGGATTATACCTCAGGATCCAACTCTGTTCAATGGAACAGTGAGATTTAATCTGGATCCTTTGTGTCAGCATTCAGATGCTGAGATTTGGGAGGTACGTCTAACTAAACAAAACCATTTTAGAAACTATGATTCTTATGAAGAAGTACATGTTTCAACATCACCCTGATAGCAATAAAAGAAAACCATTTTTGATTGCAGGTTCTTGGAAAGTGTCAACTGAAAGAGGTGGTTCAAGAAAAAGAGAATGGTTTAGATTCATTAGGTAAGAAATATGAATAATTTATTTTTGGAAATTTTCAGATGTTTTGTGTGGCTCAAATTTGGGGTTACTGTTTTGATAGTTGTGGAGGATGGATCTAACTGGAGCATGGGACAGAGGCAGTTGTTCTGTTTAGGCAGAGCAGTTTTGAGAAGAAGCAGAGTATTAGTCCTTGACGAAGCCACCGCATCGATAGATAATGCAACAGATTTGATACTTCAGAAAACAATCCGGCGTGAATTTGCAGATTGCACCGTCATTATAGTTGCTCACCGTATCCCCACAGTTATGGATTGTACAATGGTTCTCTCCATAAGCGACGGTGAGTGTTGCACTTGCACCATCCTAATTTCTTCTAACTTCTATCTCGGAACCTGTTTGATAAGAAATATATTTTGATTGAATTTTAGGACGAATTGTGGAGTATGATGAGCCAATGAAGTTGATGAAGGATGAAAACTCTTTGTTTGGAAAGCTTGTGAAAGAGTATTGGTCTCATTACAACTCGGCTGACTCACGTTGCTGATATACAAATATATCGAGAATGTAATAGGCGATCTTAGTAACAAACTGTAACTGTTTGATATATTCTTGAATAATCATCTGATAACACAGTAATTTATACATCAAAAGCTACGATATAGAAAGGCCTCTTTGTTTCGTTCTTCCAAACTCAGTAATATCTCTCACACATGTCACAAGACACAACCTGATTATATACATGTCTCAATCAAGAGAGAGAATGACATTTAAATTCAATTCATAGTACAACAACAAATCTGTCCTGGCTTATGTTTGACATCCTAAAAGCCAAGACTCGAAGACTTTAGAAGAACTAAAACTCACAGAGATCAAGAGAGACAAATGCTTCTCAATCATAAAAATACTGGCTCCCAAGATTGCATCATAATTTACCTGGAGCGATGTTATAAATAACTGGAAGAACTCTTTTGATCTGAACTGAGATTGGAAACTTCTTTAACCCGATTTGTTTTGCACGATAAAACTCATGCGTCATCGATTAGTGGAGCATTTGAGGGTGTGAAGTTACTTAGCTGACTTTTTCACTGGGTCTGTGACAAATTTTCTATACACGAGTCTTCTCAGGTTCTGTAGTGTGGTTCACAGAGTGATCAGGCCGCTTGCTTGTGTCAGCTGATTCCTCTGTGGTCTCAACAATCTCCATACTCGCTGTTCTACTCCTTCTGTTTCTCCGCTCCTGCCAAAAGAACATACTAATTTGTTGATATATGTACAAAACACATAACAAATGCTGTAGAACTGGACCACCACTTGTTACAGTGTAATAAAGTTGAATATTTCCAGAGCATTCTGTCTAAAGTGGTGAATTAAGTATATCTACCTCCCGAAAAGGGTGTTCATCGGATTCAAGCATCCGCACAACCTGGCTCATTTTAGGCCGTTTCTCTGCTTCAGGATCCACACATCTAAGGGCAACAAGAAGTGCACGTTTCAGAGCACGTGTAGCGGGTTTGGGCTCAATTCTTGGATCAACAACTTCTTCAGCTCTTCTTGTTCCAACCATCATCTTTAACCATTCAACCAGATTCACCTGCCAGCAAGAAAGCATGTTTTCAACACCAAATTAACATATTCACAACTCCTGGATACATAATACAACATAGACATATTTAGGCTACCTCATTAGCTGGACGTTCATAGTCAACTGGATCTCTTCCAGTAATAGTTTCTAGAAGCAGGACACCAAAGCTATAAATGTCGCTCTTCTCATTCAATAGACCTGTATTGGCATATTCAGGTGCTACATAGCTGAAGCACATACACATGGCCCTTTAATAGATGAAAAACAAAAAAAAACATCATCGCTAAAGAGGGTACATATATTAGACTTACCCAAAGGTGCCCATGACTCTGGTCGTGATGTGACTCTCACCCGAGTCTAAGAGCTTGGCTAACCCAAAATCGGAAAGCTTCGCATTGAAGTCCTCATCAATCAGGATATTGCTTGCTTTAATGTCTCTGTGGACTACTTTTGGTTCTATTGCTTCATGCAAATAAGCTAGCCTGTGAATTACAGTGCAGAGCATGTCAATATTTTCTTAAAAGAGTTATAATTTAAACTCCAAGTAAGAGGCCCAACAACAGTCGACAGTTTAAACAACTTACGCTTGTGCAATACCGACAAGAATCTTCATGCGTGCCTCCCATGTGAGAGTGCTATCTTTCCCCATAGCTCCATGTAACCATTGTTCTAAGTTACCACTATTCACATACTCATAAACGAGCATCCTGCATTACATCCAAATATAATAAATTTACGGGACGAGTTCTACTCAGAGCATTAACGGTACTATTCATTTGGCAGAAAATACTGATGACACTAAATTAGTAGCATATTCAGGCTGAATAAGAAGCAAGCAAGACTCACCTGTTAACACCCTCTATGCAATATCCTAGAAGCCTTACAAGGTTCTTGTGCCGTACATGACCAATCGCCTCAACTTCAACCCGAAATTCCTTCTCAGCTTGTCCCCTAGAGACAAAATTTTGTGATAGGATTACTAACCAAGTAAAAAGGAACTAAACACAGGGTTCAAAAACATTTGACAATGCCAAACAAAAACTTACAGATTGTTAAGAAGCTTCTTTACAGCAACATCATTACCGTTGATGAGTCTACCCTTATAAACTACTCCATAACCACCCTCACCGATTACATTTTCCGCAGCAAAACGGTTGGTGGCTAGCTGAAGATCCCTAAGAGTAAACCAGTGTCCCCAACCAAGATGAGATATTTCTGGCAAACCAACCAAAGGAGATGCTGTTACAAGTGCACCTTGCGATAGGGAAGCATGTCTCCAAGCGTTCCCAAAGCTTCCTTCTTCACCGGAGTGAGAACTACAAGCTCTTTCGTGATGATGCACAGAGCTACATTGACTTATACTATCATTATCACTAGACTTGGTTCTTCCCAAGTAAGACATCATCTTTCCCGAGTTTCTGTCACTAGATTTATCAGCAATTGTGAAACCTAAATTTTCATTATGATGTTGAAACCCAACTCTATCATCAACTCTGATATCTTTAGCCACATGTGGTATTTGACTGAATGGTAACAACTTGTGAGATGATCTCCGAGATTTTCGGCGGAATGCAATCCACAGAGATAGGATGCAGAGAACCAAAACTACAAAGGTGCCAACTACCAAACAAATCAATACCCAGAGTTTCATACCCGACAAACCTAAAAACGAGACCTTCTTAGACATGTCAGCACTCAAAGAACTCTCAGAAGACATCTTTGATCCTATATCCGGTGAGAATATGTCTTCCCTTTGCTCACAACTTCACAACTCCCACCTAGTAAAGAAGAAAACATAACAACTTTTAAAAACATTTTCATACATACATCAAAGAGGACTAAGACATCTCTGACTTTCACAAAATCTTACAAGCAAAAGGAAGAGTGGTTTTTCCTTCTTCAATTGGAAAAGACTAAAATTGGAAAGTAAAGCTGCCGACTCAGAAGTATGAATAACCAGTTGGACCAAAAATGGTGACACATAGAGAAACAGGATTCAAAAAAGCACGCGCAAATTCAGCAATTAATTGCGGCATATTAACAAACAAGTTATGTGCATTAAATTTTCCTACATTTGTCACCAAAACAAGACTGAGGACAAAAACAAAAAAAAGGAAACCCAGCTCTTAAACCCATTGGAAAAGAATCACTTACGATTGAAGCAAGAGACATTATACAGAAGAATCATAAAATGCTACCGAAAGTAAGAAAAAAAACAAAAAAAAAGGCAGTTCTTTTTGTGAGTTCCATGAATTTACCTTAGAATGTAGGCGACTAAGTTAATTGCCCTTTCTGATTAACCTTCTGCTCAAAGGTTTCAGCTTTTCTCTGATTTTGAAGCAAACCAAAGAGAAAGTGAAACAAGAAAGAGAAGGCAATTAGCATATATGCTTAATGATGAATTGCTGTTGAAGTTTCTCTCAGAGCCTACCAAACAAACCCAACACGATTTAGGTAAAATTCCAACAAGGGAGTCAGAAGAAAGATTGAAACTTTTGCTCCCAACTATTGATTGAATAATGTATGCAAGGAGGAGGATAAAAGAGAAAAGTTAGGGTTTGTAGATTAGGATTTAGTGAGGAGTTAATAAAAATAAAAAAGAGGGAAAAAAAAGTTGGGTGAGATTGTTGGTGAGAGTGTGTTCTAAAGCTGGAAAGAAAGCTTTGATTTGCAATTTGAGGAAACGATATCAAGAAAGAGAGAGAGAGAGCAGTGAAGGGAAAGCAAAGAAGGTGAACTTTGACAACTGTGTCATTTATAGCTGGATCATCATTACTAATTATTTATTTGGAAAGAAAAAAATAGGATATATATTTTTTTTTTGTCGGCAACTTAACATTTTATTTATAGGAAGATGGAGATATAGAGTTCTAACATATTACAGGACATAACTTTCTTACTCTAGCATTTTTGGCTAAACTATCCGTTGCATAATTTACAGAACGAGAGATTTTACAAAACGATACATGTTTGAAACTAGTAGCCATATTCCTTATATCCTGACTAAGAGTTGCGATCAGAGAGTGATCTTTGCACCAGCCTTTAGGAGCATTCAACATTCGTAGTTTTATGTTGTCATATAGGATTGATGCATCACCACAGAAGATAACATTGTCATATCCAAGCCTTCTTACATTTAGCACTGCTTGTCTTAGAGCTTCAGCTTCAACCTCAAGTGGCGAACTCATTGGACTGATGGATGCTGAACCCTTTAGTATTGGCTGAGCTTTATTGTCATACAAGATCCATGCAATACCTGCACAGTCCGTTGGTGATACCCAAGAACCATCAACGAAACAACAGTGATGCTTAAAGCTCTGTATGATAGACCTAATGTCAGAAGAAGAATCTCTTATATGTTGTACTTCTCTTGGTTTTAATTCAGGAACCTTCTCTGGACTCTTTATTTGAGTATCCAAACTTTCCTTCCAGAGATTAAACTCAACAAGAGCCTTATTTATAGTATCTGGGATGGACCATCTCTTATTATTAAAAATAAGGTCATTACGCATTTTCCAGATACGCCAACCAATGAAAGGGAAAATACTTACATCCTTTCTATGGTTTCTGTTAAGACTCATTACCTTATCTATATTCTGATCAAGAGAAGGTGTGAATAGAAATGAACCTGTATTTGAAAGTTGGAAGGAGGAAGCCCATATCTCCTTACTAACTCGACAATGGAATAGAAGATGATTTATATCTTCAGTAGTTTCTCCACATCTTTGACAGGTATCATCTCCAATCATCTTTCTGCGTTTTAAGTTCTCTGCAGTTGGGAGAGCATTATGTATACATTTCCACCAAAAATGCTTAATTTTTGGAGGAATGTTATAACTCCACACTTTAGAAAAAGGCTTCTGTACAATGATGTTATCTGAGGAATGGTTGTGAGTTAACTTACGCATAAGATGACATACAGATTTAACAGAATATTCTCCATCTCTTGAGTGTATCCATGTAATAACATCATTGACTCTAGTAAAAGAAGGACGAGTATTCAATATAAGAGGAATATCATTCTGAGATATAAGGGAGTGAAGAAGGTTGGTATTCCAGCTGCCCTGTGTCAACAAATCACTAACTTTCAAATGAGGAAACATATGTGCTCCTGGTCCTGAAGCTGGTCTAGGTGGGTTTGTTGACAACCAAGGGTCTAGCCATACATTAATCTGATCTCCATTTCCAACTATATATCTAATGCCTTTTGAGATAAGGAGGTTACCTTGGAGAATGCTTTTCCAGGCATAGCTTGAGTTGGACTTTGCAGTAGCACTTAGCAGATCTGTTTTAGCAAAGTATTTAGCCTTATAGACTCTGGCTAAAAGTGAAGATGGATGTTGTAACAGGCGCCAGCTTTGCTTAGCTAGAAGTGCTATATTGAAATCCTTCAGATCTCTTATTGCAAGACCACCAATATTCTTTGAATCAGTAATTTTATGCCATGCTACCCAAGGAATCTTATGCTTATCTTTAGTGTTAGACCACCAGAACTGTCTCATGGCCTGTGTGATCTGGTTAATGATTTTGTTGGGTAGCAAGAAGCAAGACATACTGTAGGATGGTATTGCAGTAACAACTGATTTAAGAAGCACTTCTTTACCTGCAGGAGATAGAAGTTTAGTATACCAATTATCCATCTTCTGGTCAATTCTTTGTGACAGGTAAGAGAAAGCATTATTTTTATTCTTTCCCACAAATTCAGGCAATCCAAGATATCTGCCAAAACCCGCAGTTCTATTTATTTTCAAAATTTGGCAGATAACTTTTCTTGTTGCAGAATCTATGCCTTTTCCAAAGGTTAAAGCAGATTTTTGAAAATTTACAGCCTGACCTGAAGCTTTCTCATATTGATGTAGAACATTCAGAAGGTTTAAGCATTCTTCTTCATTAGCTTTGCAGAAAACTAGCGAGTCATCTGCAAAAAGGAGATGTGATATGGGTGGTCCATTTCGACTTGCTTTAAAACCATGTATTTTGCCCTTGGATATACTTTCTTGAATTAGAGCAGATAAACCTTCTGAACATAATAAATAAATGTAAGGTGAGATTGGATCACCTTGCCTGATTCCTCTTTTTGGTTGTATTCTTCCCACCGGCTGTCCATTGATAAGCACAGAGTATGAGACAGTCGTGATGCACTTCATGATCCACTTACACCATATTTCTGAAAAACCCATCTGCTTCATTACTGCTTCAATGAAAATCCATTCCAATTTATCAAATGCTTTAGTAATATCCAATTTCGCTGCAAGAAATGGTTGAGCATATTTTTTTGTATGTAGATATTACAAAGTGGAAAATCAATATAAAAATTGAAGTAAAAAAAAAACTGAAGTGGATAGAGATTAACAAGACAAAGTACAAAAGAGAGAATTCTCAGATGCAAAGGCTTTAAAAGTCTTATCTTCCCCTTTGCCAAGCTGAACTATATTTGACTTCAAGATTGAAACTATATTGACTTTTTTTTTTCTTCAAAGAATTAACTTTAGTAGAGACTAAATATGTTTCTTTATTGTAATCAAGATTATATTTTTCAGTAGAAAAAAAAAAAGAAGAAAAAGAAAACTCAGATTAAAGCACATTTCATATAATTGCTTTTCAATGGATCCTCCATTTTTTCTGGCTATGCATAGGCATTATTATTATTATTATTATAGTTCTTGTGTTTTGATCTCTTTATACAATACAATATTTAATCACATGCGAGAAAAAGCCAAAAGAATAAAGAAATTAAAGTTTCAGCATATATATGCCTCGGACATTTAATTGGTGTATCGAGAGCAATAACTAGAAAGATTATTATAATCATATCCCACAAGTCAAAATGAATCATAAAATTTTCATGATGTGCATTCAAGAATTTAGGGTCAATTTGATATATTTTTTTAACGACATTTCCCGCAATTATTGTAATTTGTTGTAATAATAATCAAAAGAAATCAATTGAGCTATTATTAAAGACCATATGTCAAAATCATTGTGATAAGTACAACACATGAGTGTGATGAGTGTGTGAGGTGTCCAACTCCAACGAAACTATAAATATCCCTTTAAGTCTATATACTTATATAGACATCACTATTGACTACTATTAAACGACACCGTTCTAAAGAAGAAGGATGTTGCTTAAGACTCAAGAAACCACGGAACATAATATTTACGGTTACTTTGCCTTGTCTTTCCGACCAGCAAGGATCATCGAGATTTGAAGGCCTCTGCTAAACGCTTGGTTGAATAGCAGACGAGCTTGGAACTCGGACACAATAGGGAACCAAGACAGAACAGCGATTGGTGCAAAGATTATAAGTCCCATTATCTTTTCATATGCTCTTCCTAACTCTTTCACCGAGTCCCAAACCCCTAAAGCTTTGATTGGTGACCTCAGTACTTGCCCAATCTGAGAAACAATAAAAAAAAAACCCCAATACTTGTTTTAATAACATGACGCAAGTGTGGATAATATGATTGTGAAAGGGGGGTTTTGATGGCTATTTAATTACCAGAAGAATCGCCCACCCTGTTGGAAGAAAAGCAAGAAGAGAAGCAAAGAGATCGGTGAGTGTGAGTTCGCACACCACAAACAATATAGTCATGACTGACAAGAAGCCGAGGAAGAGAAGTGCTTTAAGAATCCTGAACATTAGCTGAAAATCCGTTCCGAATCTCCGTCTGCCCATAGATACCATCTGACATTCAGAACGGATTAAACTCTCAAGTGAGTAAAGATTATATAAGCAATTCCATGACAATATGTGTAAAGAGTGAAGGATTTTGTGAGACCTTTAGAACAAGTAATGATGTAAGCAAGACCCCCCAGGAGATCCCATATACCTACAAAGAGGAAGTACAAAGTTATTGAAGCTATAGGATCACAGATCTGTCATGTAAACCGAAAGTTGCAAGAAAAGTGATGAACATTTTTTACCAAAAAACTCTTGTTTTGCCGAGAGATATGGAGCTGGTAAACAATTCCGTATTGATATATGAAAAAGCGGAGAGCAAGTGCGATTTCCAGAACTCTCCCTCTAATATTTGTATGTTTGAGGTGTTCTTGCTCCACATTCCACCATGATTCCCAACTCTTTTCAACCGGGATGCCTATACCACCCCGATCTCCAAGCCACCGTTTCCAATCAGTCCAATCGTCAACCGTCTTTTGCCACTCAAAACCCGAAGGATTAAATATAAATGGTGCGAACAACCATGAGCCAACCATAAACCACATCGAGATTGTGATATACAGATAAAGGCTTGAACTCCGGTATGAACTCCCATACACTTGATAAACAACTAGCAATGCAAGCAGCTCTAATCCCTTCACAAAGTGACTTCTTGAGTATAACCTGTAGTTTTCCGCAAATTTTGCATGGAAAACAACAAATCCACGCCCTGTCGGTCTATATTTGGAACCACCATGTAAAATTGTTCTCCCATAATAATGTGACTTTGTCCCAAGCTGGAATGTAAAGAATACGGAGGCTAGCTGCAGCTGCATTATAAAAAAGTCCACAATAGCAGTGCGAAATCCATGTTCCAAACCAATTTCCATTACCATCGGTAACACCATCAAGAAACCTAACTGAAATATGGACTGAGTAGCCAGAGCCTGCTCAAGAGCTGCAAGCTGATTCGGAGTTGCAAGTCGCAG